CGCCTCCGGTTGGTGGTCAGGTGGCTTCGTGGTAGGTGTCCCACCTGCGTGCTTCTTGGCGGCAGTATGGGGTATTTTGGCGGTCCTTCCTTTTCCTGTCCCTTCTTCGGTGGGTCCTCCTTGTTGGCTTGGTTTACTCTCGGCTTGGTTTTCTAGTAGGGGTTGGTGGCCGTCGTCTTGCCACATACTGTCGCCTCTTTTCGTGCGGCGCAGGCGGAGCCGCTTCAGCTTGCTTTCGGTCTTGGTGTTGCTTCTGCACCGTTAGTCAGCTGTCTTGTGCGTCATTTCACCTCCGGCCTGTTCGTGCGCCGCTTGCACCATCCTGGTCTCTGGTCAGCGTGCTCTGTCTTCTCCTCGGTTGGTAGTGCCCCTTCGGTTCCGGTGTGTTTTTTCGTCGGCTCTTTCCTTTGGGCCTTTGCCTCTGGGGGTCGGTTTGCTGTGTTTTCTTGCTCCTTCGGTTTTAGCGTTTTGGTTGTTTGATGGCAGCAGTCTCCATCTTTTCTGGCGCGGGGTGGGGCTGCTGCATTCTGGAGGGGTCCAGGGTTTGTTGGTGTTTTGTTGGTCGGGCCGGGGGTGTGTCGTTTTTGTGTTCAGTGGCGGCCCTCTGCTGTTGTTTGCGTGCCACGGCGTTTGGGTCCGGAGCGCGTTTTGCGTTGATCCGGTTCTGTTCTTCCCGGTTCGCGGGTGATGGTGTCCCGGGTGGTCAGCCGTGTTCTTGCGGCTAAGCTGCCTGTGTTCTTCCCTCATGCCTGTGGCGTTCGTGGCTTCGCTGCTCTCGCTGCCGTCTGGGCGACGTGGCCTTGCAGTCTTTCGGGCATGGATTTTTGGTGTTCGTGCAGGGGCCTTGCTGCTCGTGGTTCTCGTGTTGTTCCCGGGATTTTCGGGGCTGTGGCGCCTTGGGTTGGCGTTTGCTGCCGGTTGTCTCGCCTCCTTGGGGGGTGCGTGGTGTCCGCCTCCCGGTTTTGTCCCTTTGACCTTCCTCTGTGGGTAGTTAGCTCCGGGGAGCCGACGGGGCTCCCCCCAGAAAACCAGCGTTGAATGTAATGAAACGCCATTTTCTGGGTGAGACCCGGAGGCTCCCCGGCAACCCTCCCTCCCTCCGGTCGGCGTTTTTCGCGTGTTTTGACATCCAGCCTCAGAACTGATGGGTGGATAGCCGGCGTGGGAGGTCTGGGGCTCCCCCTTCCCCCTCCCGGGGAGGGGGGAGCTGCGCAGACAGCGGCGCGGTGACGTATGACGTCATACTAGTTTCCGTGTTTTCTGTTGAAGAGTTCTATTCACTAGTTCGGCTTAGGTAGCAATTTTCACCAGAATAGGGGTTTGTTTTGGAATGCTTACCTTTCTGGATGCTTGACCCGGTCGATGGCAGACATAGAATGCTTCCAACCACACGGGGGTTTCTATAGGCCATTGCTCCCCTTGCCTCTCTGAGGGGGCCAGGTTCTGGCTCGTGGTCCCCGGTAGGCCCTAGAACTCCATACACATGACTGATGCCAAAGTCTGACATTAGCATATCAGCCGGTAAAGCTCCGGGGAGCCTCCGGGTCTCACCCAGAAAATGGCGTTTCATTACATTCAACGCTGGTTTTTTTTCTTGTATAGGCCTCCTGAATTATATCTATGACCTTTTGAATATTTTATGACAATCACTACTGATAGCATTTCTGGGCTTGGCACTTTCTTTTGATGATTACTTGCATTTACCGTATATATCTTTATACATCAGTATCCTTCAGATAATGTAAAATATGTAGTTATATACAGTAGTATTATTTCTTGGCTTGAATCTCAATATATCCCAATATACCTTATTCCATTATCAGTTGTCCTAACTTGTTACATAAGATACATCATCCAGCCCAAGGAAAGCCACTTATATTTTAAGATGAGTCGTCATAAATAGCTGTAACATAACCACTGCTGCTTTGTGGCCATAATTTTTATATTGTCATTAAATGTCCTTCTATAACAACACCTTACAAGAATTATTGCTACGATATTTCACTATGAAGGGCATTACACACTAAAGGGCATTGACTTTACTTCATTCAGAACAATATTTTATATTTAAAAAAAAATTTAGCTCGAATATTTTTTATTCAAACTATATAGGTATATACATCTTGAGTAAAATACATATAGGATTCTTAACTTTGAGAATAAAAATCTATGCAAGAGATAAAAACAAACATTAAATTCTGGATAACAGGCCAATACAGGACTTGAATGCTAGTGAAAGTCTAGATCTCTTATACAGTGTTGCTCTAATTTAGGAATTTGGTAAATTTCTTATATTTGAGGTGTAATATCAGGTGTTCAAGATTTACGAAAAGTTTCAAATAGTCTTAGTTTCACAATTGACTTTATAATGGTCCACGACAGACCGAAAAGTCCTCGTCTCCTCATCTTCTGGTGTGTGGTTTAGTCTTCATTTATTGCAAAAGTTTTAAACTTTAAGAGGTATTTTCTTTGGTTTTATAGGAATTAAAGTTTTAGAAACACTATAGCTGGTAATTTTAATTTTTTCTGAATGTGGGCCACTTGCATTAAAATGTAAAACCTGGAGAATTATATACGAATATTTTGAAGAATTTGCTGAATTGAGCACCGATAATTGATTTATAAACTCGCTTTATGATTCAGATCTTGTCTAAATTATTCATTCATTATTTGATGTATCAGTCATGATTATCATAACTGTGATTACATGTGCTTTATTATACTGTATTAGAGCTTTGACTTTTTAACAGGTTTATTCAAATCGATAGAATTTTTGTTTTTGCATGAAGTCCTGTAATTATTTAAATGCATAATTATATAAAGCATCTTTTTTATTTTTATTTTAAGAGCCCTGGATAGTGAGAGGTATTGGAGATAAAAGCCTGTAGAGAACACATGGCATGCCGCTCCCGTTATTTTCTCTCGTCATGGTAATTTGAACTGTTCCTTCTCTAGCAGCAGCGCTGACCATCTTGGGCCTCTCACAACCTCTCAACTGTGTTTCACACTCCTTTTCAGGGACAATTTTTCAGTGTTTGCCTGTCACTCTGCTGTTCTCCAGTAGTTGCATCCAACTTCATAATATGAAGGCTGTACTGTATAGTGCTTTGCTGCTATGTATATACAGTATATGTGCACCTGTATTTTCAGTAGCATGATAAACGTTAGTTACTATTTCAGTTTGCTTAAGCTTTCCTGTATTTTATCTTCAACGTAAATTTAGACAATGTGCTAACTAACAGTTTTCTGCCTCATTTGACTTTCAGTACAGAGTTGCTCTGTGGATCAGGTAGTGCATCTGCTTCTCTGTTGAATGTCTTTTAACAAGTGCATGAAGGCTTGTCAGTGGCATTGTAGTATTAGCTGAAGTGGTTATAGTTGGAGTGGTTATGTTACTGCTAGTAACAGTAATTATCATCATTGATGTTTGAGCATTTGTTTGATGTGAAGGTGCATAGTGAAGGTAATACACAGTGAGTGGTAGTGAGGGTGTATGGTGGGTAGTTAGGGAGGGGGGGTAGTGGGTAGTGAGGGTTTGGCAGGGAGTCACAAGTGTTGTAAATGAAGGTGTGTAGTGCTTAATCAAAGTGTTGAGAAGTGTGTGACATGTGAGCACTGAACCCATGTGTAGAGTATGCAGTGTGTGGTAGGTAATGTTGGTGTGTGGTAACTGCAGTAATGATTGTGTGTGATAAGTAATAATATAATACTCATGAAATCCTTGCCCTCTTCCATGTAAACTTACCTATAATATATAGTACACTGATACTTATTGGATCACACCTTTACTTCTGGCTCTCTTCAAGGCTCCAGCAATTTCTTATATATTTTCTTGTCAGTGTTATATATATTTAGCCTTTAAGTAAAATAAACTGCCATGATATAACAAATCTTGGCCTCTTTAAATTGATACTTCACAACTCTCTCCACTCTTGCCCAGTCTCTCTTACTTCATTCTTCTTTGAATTATTTTTCAGTTAATTTTTCACGCTCTCAAATATTGCAATTCCTCATCATTGACAAAAAGAACACACTTTCTAATCCTGTCTGTATGTGAAATTCCGTCAGAGCTACCTTTTCCCATTGTTATTTCCTTGATTTAAAAGTGAATCGGTTAAAGACCCGACCAAATGCAAGGCTAGAAGATTTATTTAAATCATATTATTGGACACGTATTGCTGTGGCTACATTACATGACATGGTTTTTCCCTCACAGTTTCATCCATAAAGTAAACAAGCCATTTTTGTAGTTTGTCATCATTTCCATAGTCAAATTTTTTTTTAGTGTATCACTGTTCCCATTATCAACCATATAATAAATCAGTAGGTATGGTATTTGATTATCATTCGAGTATTGCATGTGGCATGAAAGTATTTTATCTCTGTGCTCCCCTCTTTAAATATCTTGTGGGTTACTTGACCCCCTTTCTGATGCCAAACATTTTTCATGTAATGTTTTTCTTGTTGCTCCTATTGTGCCACTATTTAAATTGACATTAACTAATTTATATTAATGAATCATATAACTAAATTTATGAGTTGTAACACTTAACAAACGACTAAATGCTTGGTGATGAACAACGTATTTTGTCCAAAAACATATTTTTTATATTGCCAGTAGAAGTGGTATACATCGAACCTTTTGTAAAAATAAACATACTGTACATACATACATACATACATACATACATACATACATACATACATACATACATACATACATACATACATACATATATAATATATATAATATATAATTTGTATTTAAATTCACATATTCACACTCGATTGATATTTGAAATACTTTGTAGTGTTCTGTGGGAATGTAAATCATTAATGTTTGCTGATTCTGATCTTCAGTACACAGTAGGTAAATTTAAAAATTATTTAAGTTTTTATTTACCAATATTAGCAAACCAAAATTTAAGTTTTGGTTTGCTGAATCATAAATAATTTGCATGTTATCACTGAAGTTTGGGTATCAACTCATGGTGTTGCAGTGGCTCCAGTTAAACCTGAGCGGAAGGCGAGTGAACCAACTGTAGTGAAGACCATAGATGAGGTTATGTCGTCTGCAGCATCTCCACTCATGCACATGGCACCGTCTCTTAAAATTACTGAAGATTGTGACCTCAGACAAAGGCAAGTCAGAGAACTAATTGGATTTGTATTTTTTTTTTTTTTTAATGTTCATTTTCAATTAGCCCTCACACTGCTCTAGTCACTGTATGTGATTTCCTCCACATTTGATTTGTGAACTATTTTAGTCAGGCGCATCTTGATGTAGTACAGTATGCTTAATTAGCTGCACAGTTCAGGGGTTAATAAAATGCACTTTATTATAAGCTAGCCATCTTCCATGTTTGCTTGGCATAGTTCATTGTATATTATAATTAGTTATTGTAAAGTTTAAGCCATCATAAAAAGAATAATACGACCACTTATTGTTCAGCAGCACAATGAGTTCCCGAAAGACTCGGTTCTCAACTGAAATAGGATAAGCGAACATGATGGTGAACACAAATTAACTAAAGTATTTTTGTTTTGACATAAGAGGTGTCTTAAGTCTGGGAAAGTTTCTAATGAAACATTAATGTTTAATTATGAATGATATGAGTATGCATTAAAGATAGTATTACCAGAGCTATGTAGTGTCATGAATACAAAAAAAATTTGGGAAGGGTACTAGTGATGATGGTAATACTTCAGGAAGAGGAAGAGTAGGTGACTGGGAGGCAAGACTTGTTCATTCATAGAAAAGATGGAAGTTCTAGATAGTAAAGTACAGTATACAAGATGTAATTCTTTAGCAAATTAGCTTGAAAGCATACAGTATTTAGAAAAAAAAAAAAGCTGGAGGTACCTTGTAATCCATGGCATGGTTTACAAGAAATCTGCATGAAAAAGTGATTGTTCCTGTTTCCTCATTATGGAAGTAGTTCACCGAGTGGAACCTTTGTCCAACACCTGACCATCTTTACTCTTATTGTGTGGTATGGCCCTGTTTTGCATTTTCTTTGTGGCTTTACATAATTTGGTTGCATCCCCCCCCCCTCCCCACACATTAATTCCAAACTGCCCACCATGCAGTCATTTGCTATTCTGTCTCATAATTAACAGCATTGAGAAGTCTCATTTATAGTGTGTGTAGTGCCAAGATTTCAGTGTTCCAACTTAATTTTTCTTGGCAACGTTTTGAATTCTCATCACTATTCAAATCTTGTGCTGACATTACTACCAAGATTTATTTTGTATATAATTGTATCACCATACATACTATGGCATCTGTGTCAGACCTTTCCCATATCTTGACTGCTATTACCGTACATCATCAATGATAATATTTTTTCCTTTATTCTTTATCTTCTTCAGAACAAATGTGGCCGGCATCCACGGAATAGGTCGCATTGAGTTGACTGTCAAGTATGGACCTCGCAGCAACCTAGTTATTGTTGTTCACCAAATTTCGTACGTAGAAATATACTACTTGCTTTTTGGGCTCTGTAAAGTAAATTTAAAATGGGTTGTACTTACTTCAAATCAAAGACAAAGAGGGTCTAAATATCAGTAGTACAGTATCCTTATTAATATTGATAACATATGCTTTGCTGAACAAAATATGAAATACCATATGTAATTATATAAAAAATTTTGGTCAAATAATTGTGAACAAGCGAGTGTGATGTATCTTGGTTACTGACGCATCGAGCAGGGAAAATTTTTTGTTGGCTCATTTTCAGTACTTCCATGACCATTGAGAGTGAAGGTTCATTGTTCAATAAATTTCTGTTGCGTGAAGGCTAAATAAGAATTTTTACCCCCATGCCCCCTCAGAAAGTGTGGGCTAACTCCATAAAAGCCACAAATTCAAAATTGCCACTTTTGGCCATTTTGGAAATATTTTATTGATTTGGCATAAAATGTTGCATAGTACAAGTTTTTGTTTAGGTGTTTGGGTTTAGGAATTCATTGGTGATGTTAATTCGATAATTTCAGTCAGTTTTGAACTTTAAATAATAGATAGCTGCAGATTTTTAGTTCAGAACAGGCAATTTTTCTAAATCATAGTGAATAACCTATACTGAAATAAAATTGCTGTATCAAAGCATTGATGGTTTTTCCTCAGAAACCTGCCAGTTGAGGAAGATGGAGAGCTGCCAGACCCATATGTGAAACTTTATCTTCTTCCTGATCGCTCCAAAGACAGTAAACGTAAAACAGATGTGATTAAAGACAGCTGCAACCCTAAGTATGATGAGCGGTTTGAGTATTCCATTCCTCCAAATGAACTGACACGGCGTACACTAGAAGTAAATATAATCAACAAGAAGGGACTTTTATTCTTGCAACGATCACCTAAAATGGGACAGGTTTGTTAATTTTTTCTGCTCCTTAGATTTGTTGTTTATTTTTGCATAGAAAGCATAATGGCCTAAGTAAGATAAGACAGGTGAAAATTCAAATATTCAACTACAGTATTTAATGGGTATAGAATAGATGGCGAGTTACAGAAATATCTTGGATACCATATCAGCAAGAACCAATTGCTTTTGAAAATTATTAGTTCCAAGTAACTGATAAGACTGATTTACTTAAAATACATTTTCTATCATGAGAATGTTTACAGATATAATTGGATGTAGCAGTAGATTTTGAATATTAATAGAAAATGGGTTTTGTCATAGAGAGTTTGCATTTCTATACAGTAATTGGATTACAAAATAAATATTATGGTCCTGTTTATCTATGGAGGCTTATCCAGATATCCATATACAGTACGCATTATCTTCTATGTCCAGATAAATCCAGAAGTCTGATTATTTCACTTTTGTTATCAGGTCCACCTAGACTGCGGGCTTCTGGATGCAGATAAGGTGACTCAGTGGTATGATATTGCTCCAGCCACAGACGAGGATGATGAGTGAGGAAGGCGAAGTGTGCTGAGCCGAGTAGGAAGTTGGAGGGGCAGTCTGCGTAGAATGACCAAACTAGCTGATCTAGCTAAGGGTAAGAAGAAAAAGAAGAAAATGTGATGATTCATGTAACCACAAACCAATTGTAAAACAGTACCTTTTTCAATTAGTTCATGAGCTTTGTCAGTTTCATATGATCCATTTGTAATTATGCGCTTATTGATTCACTTTTTTCTTCTGAATTAAGTTTAGAGATTAATTGCACATTTACTTTTTTTTAAGATAGCCATATATTTTAAACTCTTGTTTTGTGGTATAGTTTATCACCTCTGACATACATAAATGTGTTAACGTTTATGCGTACTGTACTTAAACTCGTGAAACCGATTGGGTGAAACATGATTCAGGGGAAAATGACATCTAATACATCACTGATGAGAGACGGCAAAAGCATTTCAGCATTGGGATAATTTTGTGCAATTCCTGGAATGAGGTGACACACCTGGCCAGCACACTTCGTAACTACGATCGGAGAATGTTCTCAAGGAGGATATGAAAATAGGAAATCTGCTCTCTATTCATACATGTGTATTGAATATTGGACCATACATTTTAAATTGGATATAAAAATTGAACGTTCTAGATATTGCTGTAATATCAGAGTTTATGATAGTTTTAGGCGATGTAACTAGTACCAGGTATGATAGTTTCTATCAAAAATCATAAATGTATATTTAGATGTTGGAAAAATCATTTTTTTGTATTGTTTAAAATTTATATGGTGTGGCCTTAAGTAGTGTTTGTCAGTCCAGGATTGTTGTTTTGCCATAGTCTGCAGCATAAAAGGCAGTGCACAAATAGATCTGCTTCAGTAAAATGCATATGTTAAAAGTATTTATAGTCAATATTTTTGTTGTTGCCACATATATTTTCATGTACAGTTAGTCCTGCTTCATCCATGTTGAAGCAGCTTTTGGCACAGGTTTTTATATTAATTCATATTACCCCATTGGTGAGGTTGTGTGTAGAACATAGTATGTAAGTCACACATTAATATTTTTGGATTGTGTGTTCATATGTGGGTAGTAATCTTATTACATTATACAAGTGTGCCAACTTGGTCCTTCGCTGGACTTTATTTCTAATATTTTAATATTTTTATATATCTTTATTATTTTTTGTAGGCTTTGAATAATAGTCTTAACCAGAATTGGGCAATTTCTTGTAATTTAATTTCTGCTATGGACTAAAGATGGTTTCTTGATTCATCTGGCAATTACTGCTGTGGATTCATCTGGCAATTACTGCAGTGATGAATGCCCTCACATTAGTGAGAAAATAACTAATCAGTAAATTTGCTGGTTTATTATATTTCTATATCAAAGTATTTATAGAGGGGCATAAATGATTTGCTGACATCTACAATCTTGAAAAAAAAAGCCTGGAGACCTGCAGTGGAGTGCGTACATCAATAAAGAAGACCAAACCACACACCAGAGGATGAAGAAATGATGTTTCGGTCCATCCTGGACCATTATCACAATCGACTTGATAATGGTGCAGGACGGAGTGTAATGTCGTCGTTTCTCCATCCTCTGGTGTGTGGTTTGGTCATCAATTCTTCAGCCACGTTATTGTGAGATCTGCGTACATCGATAAAGGTTGGAAAAATTAATGGTCCATATGTTTTCAGTATCCTTCTTGTAACTGACCTTCCTGCCATAGACAATGACAAGAATTATGTATTGGCTGCACAGTAGGTGTAAAGAATCTCTCTTTTTTACGTAAATTTTTAAGTGGCTGCACACTTCAGTATACATGAAGTAAGTTGTATTTGAATTATGTTATTCTAAAGTTTTTGTTTAGTTTGGAAAATAATTATATTGTAGTTTTAGACATTAATATATGGTTTAGCATTATGCTAATGTAGTGGAAATATTTATTTCATAAATTTCCTTCTGTTAGAAATTAAGCAAATAATTGTTTTCAAGGTATTTTTTATCCTAAAAGCATTATTTATAATTTATATACTGTTTAAATAAAACTTTGGTACAGTATTTTGTTTAATCCTTGCTCTCTGATAAGCAAGATAAAATTATTTTATTATGTATAGATAATGTACACTAATTCAAAAGTGATAAAATAATGTCAAAGCAGAAAAGTTTTATAAGTTTAAAACATATTTTGGGAATTGGTGCTATATTTTAGTTGTGTACATAGGTACTGTGAGTGAAAGCCATCCATGAATTATATCCACACATACTTTGCCTTGAACGTCTATATACTACTACTTATACATTAATGTATGCAATGTTGGCGCATCACCTTTCTTAAAAAAATGTATAGAAATTAGAGACAGTATTAACAGGAAATGCATGGCCTTCCAAATTCTTACAGCATTGATGACTAAACATACCAATATATTTATGGAGATACTACTAAATAGCTCTTATGACACTATCATACAGTAGTAGAATGCTGGTAAGTATACTCCTGCTTCTCATACCTCATGCACTTGACCTGACAGCCTGACACACTCTGGGGGGACAAAGTGATAACTTATCTGTCTGAAAAAATTTACAGACATGAAAATAATGGACTATGACAGTATAAGCTGGCAAGTTAAAAATGCATGAGATTCCTTTGATTTGCTCCAAAAAACTGGTCTTATGAATGCATTGTAGGACAGGAGATTTATGTCTTGCTATCTGGCCTCTTCTAAGATCTCCTAAATCTTAAAAAAAAAAAAGTTACATACATATGTGTGTACCACAAAAAAATTAATACATGATGGATAATATGAAAATGTATGACTTAAAGAGAAAATGCAACAAGAAATTATTTGAGTGCTTCTGTGTTAATACTTTTGATGTGTTGATTAACACAAAAGTGCTTAAATAATTTCCAGTTTTATTTCCCTTCATGGTTATAAATTACTGTACAGTACCATTATATATATATATATATATATATATATATATATATATATATATATATATATATATATATATATATATATATATATATATATATATATATATATGTATGTAATTGTACTGTAATTTATTTATTATGGATTTCTTGCACATTTCTATACAGAACTGTACATGGAAAGTTCAGGTGTTTAATGCCTTCTCAGTGCTGTGAATTATTAGGTAGCTTGACAGACAACTCTATATAAATTTAAAGTAAGATCCAATAGGAATAAGTACTGTAGCTTCAGCATAGATATTAATGTTAGTATAAATTTTGGGTTAGGATTAAAGAAGCATACATGGTCCTAAAAACTACATGTTATATTGTAGTAATATTATAAATTGGCAAGCACTAATATTGTGTAATGTGTGTGTGTGTGTGTGTGCGTGCCTCTGGGAGAGGACACACAGGTGCTACACCATAATACACTTTTGCTTAACTGGGACACCCGTGATTTTTTCAGTTTTGTCGGTGCTCAGTGCTTCCTGTATAGTGTAATAATGGTTGATCTTCATTATTTATAGGATAACAAAGATCATGAATTTTTATATATAATTATTACAGCTGCCACAGTTTACCAGAAATGTATGTATACATTATTAAACAGCCAGAATACATTGCAATTACTCTACTATAGAATTATTATTGAGTATGCTTAATACAAGATATTATCTAATGGTATTATTGTGAAATACAGTTCCTTAAAATAAGCTAGTGTATTATGCTTTTGCATAACGTGTATTTCAAGATGTAAAGCATCAGCTTCATTAATGAGGTAGCCATTAGTACTAACTGAAAGTTAATGGTAACTGAGAACACTTGAAATGTATAGGACAGGGAAGAACCTCTGTACACAGCACATATTCATTGTCATTGTACTTGATGTATGTAAACAACAGCAATGCTGGTATCAAAATGATATTTAGATTTGTATCCAGATACAACAGAAATGTTTAATTTTAGCCCACAATGAAAATTGTTGTTTTTATACATTATATCTGTTATGGTGCTCTAATGTAATACATTTAATCCTCTCATAAAGTTTTCTAAATTATATAAATCATGACATTAAATATTTTACATGTTCCTCATTTCATAAAAAATAAACTGTCCCATTTCATAATTATTGTAATGGTGAAGGTGATTATTGATCATTTAATAAAGCAAACCAAAATAACTTGTGTGTTCACTGAATAATATCAAACTATTAAATCCTCTGACTTGCATAGTACTGTACTATAGGTAGAGCTATAATATCCCCAACATGACCTGTACTTATCCAGGGAGAGGGTGGCTCAAGGGCTTCAAGGATCTGAAGGACAGTTAATGGTGGCTTATGAAGCACCTCTTCTGGACTAGTGTGAGGGAGACTTAAACTTTGGCCTGTGGCTAATTGCCACGAGCAAAAGTTTAAGCCTCCCTATCAATTTTTTTCTCTCATTTCAACCTGTAATTGGCAATACCCCCCCTTCATCTGGATGCTGTCTGCCAAGAAAACTGTGGCCTGTGGCTCATAGGGGTCAACATTTGGTGTATGATTGGGGTAAAATTGGAGATTTGAGTAGGAAATAATATCATGAAGAAAAAAACATTAAAGATTTCTCAAATTTTACACAAGTAAGTAATTATCAAAAGAAGGCACCAAACCGAAATTTTATGCAAACTGACCTCCAGTTTAAAAATAAGATGGATATTTAAAATATTTTTCTTCAGTGTTGTTGGTAAGCAAAAGTGTGTGTGTTTGCACACAACTGAAGTTGGAAATTTAGTAATTTTTTAAGAACATTTGACTATCTTGAGGTCATCTTGAGATAATTTTGGGGCTTAGCATCCCTGTGGCCCGGTCCTTGACCAGGCCTCCTTTTTGTTACACATCCCCAGAAAGCAGCCCATAGCAGTTGTCCAACTCCAAGGTACCTATTTACTGCTAGGTGAACAGGGAAAGGGAAATGGATTTTTAAACGATTTTAGGGAAAAAAAATTTTTTTTGCATTTTATCCAAATTGACCTCTAATTTAAAAAATTAGATGGATATTTAAAATATTTTACTTTTGTGCTATTGGTAAGCACAACTGAAAATGATTGCTTATAATTGAAATTGAAATAAGTTTATTGAGGTAAAATACACACAAAGGGATGAGGTAGTTCAAGCTATTTCTCACCCCGTTCAGTACATCGTGTTAATACTGTATATACATACACACACATCACAAACAATAAACATATTACCGAACATTCTGAGATAAACATATACATTTCCTCAATAATAAAAAATGTATATGTTTATCTCAGAATGTTCGGTAATAATTGAAGTTGGAAATATAGTCATTTTATAATAAACATGTAAGCTGCATAAATGTGAATCAGAAACTTTGTCCTTAACAACTTTCACAAATCTTTACAATATTGGCTGGACTAGCTAGGTGAACAGCAGTCTAAATCAACTTCAGTACTCTATGTACATAATAATAATTATAATAATTTATTTATACAAATGTACATAGATATGATACATGAACTGAGGAAGATATATATGTAAGACAAATACATTGAATAAACAGCTCTTTGCAGTTTCACTGGGTACTTCAATTGACAGCTTTAAAGGTTTCATGAGGTAGATACTTAATGCTAACAAGAAGCTGGCTAACAAAAAATTGTTCAGGACATTTTGCAAATGATGTATAGCTTTTAGGGAGGGCATAACATGGAAAAAAAGGTAGGGAGAAAATTAACAGGTATTATTAGGAATAATTAAAATTAAGGTAGATAGAGGAATATTTGAATTGTAGAAAGTTTTAAAAATAACTGACAAACAAAAGCTTTTTTTTTTTTTTTTTTAGCTCATCTAATACTCGCATCTCAGGGTGGTTAGTCATACATGGAATCAGTGGAGAAAATACTTGCCTCAATACAAAAACAAATTAACTCTGACTAAACAGCAACTTTATGATTTTGTGGATGAGTTTACATTCTCCCCACCGGTACATATAGTTACACATTTTCAAAAGTAGATGAGAATAACAAAAACAGCATATTGTTTTATGAATGTAGAAACAAAAGTATTTAGTAACAGCAAATATGGGGTGGGTGGTCACAGTCCCGATCTTGTGTGCCGGGCAAGTCCACCAGTGGGCTCACCATAGACCGTGCTACTTGCAACTATTTATTCTGATCAGCTGAATCTAAAACATAAACAACATGGGGTGGGCGGCAGTGGAAAGGGTTCCAGAGGCACACAATGGGCTCAGGGACTGAACCCACAAATTCATTTAGCATGTTATGACGCAATCTCCGGTTATCTGTCTGCACAAGACAATATCCGGAAATTGCGCCGCGCATTTTAAAGAGGAATTATTGAGTAGTGGCCTTTTAGAAAGCACTATAGTCATTGTACTGTAAATGTAAACCTTTGAATTCCATCCATTGTGTATTATTGTATTATAAACATCATTACTTATGAATTAAGTTTTGTAATAGGTGATTCTCCAAGATGGTCCGGTGAGTCGCGCGGGCCACTTGTAAGTCATCGTGAGTTGCCACTTGGGACCCGACCACACTTCTCTCACACCTGTCTTCTAGGTTATCAATATTTAGCAGAACTGCTCACCTTAAGCAGAAGGGAAACATTTCCTGCTAATTTTCGTCCAGTGGATGACAGGACAAGACCGTAAATAACGCAGTAAAGCTTTCACAGGAGCGTGGACGGTCAGTAGTGGAGAGGCAGCGAGGGAGAGCGGCCGGTCCTCCGTCCCGGGTGTAGCTTACTGACACACTGTTACACTGTCAGCAGGTGAGTGTCTGGCCTCTTGAGTGTGTGCACTAGGTAGTCCTTGACCCTGCTGGAGCACGAGTCTTGAGTGACAGTCTGTTATAAGAGTATAAGAAACGAAACGCAACGCTACGCTATGCCAGCCCGTCCTCCGCTATGCTTGCCCGAAACGCTATGCGTACTAGTGGCTTTAGGTATTGTATGGGGTCCGTCTAATTACCACAAGCTACCACAAGCTACACAAGCTTCAGAAAGCTTCCTGGCAATACGTTAGTATTGCCAGGAATAAATATGATATGTTAGGTTAGGCTGACCTAGCCTAACCTAACCTAACCTAACCTATCCTAACCTATCCTAACCTATCCTATCCTAACCTAACCTAACCTAACCTAACCTTACCTTACCTTACCTTACCTTACCTTACCTTACCTTACCTTACCTTACCTTACCTTACCTTACCTTACCTTACCTTACCTTACCTTACCTTACCTTACCTTACCTTACCTTACCTTACCTTACCTTACCTTGAGTCTACCTTGAGGTGCTTCTGGGGCTTAGCGTCCCCGCGGCCCGGTCGTCGACCAGGCCTCCTGGTTGGCGGACTGATCAACCAGGCTGTTGGACGCGGCTGCTCGCAGCCTGACGTACGAGTCACAGCCTGGTTGATCAGGTATCTTAATATCTTACCTAACTTAACCAAACCTAACCTAACCTAACCAACGCTTGGATCGTCGACTTGATTTGGCGTCACCAGCTTTTTATTTTCGCCTAATTTCTTTATAAAAAGATACTTTTTCAGATTAAAATTGTTTTTTCGTGTTGTACATTCAGCACCAACATTACAATGAGTAAATATATCATATTTATTCATTACTAACGTATTGCCAGGAAGCTTTCTGAAGCTTGTGTAGCTTGTGGTAATTAGACGGACCGGTTGCATGTACTGCCTCTATCTTTAAATCTAACAGAATGTTTGTACTGTAACGCTGCAACTATGTATGTACTGTTTCTAAATAAATTATTATTATTATTATTATATGGTGTATTACTGAGGGTGTGTAGTCAGCATGGGGGGGTCTGGTCGATTAGGACACGAGACGCTTCCACGAAGCTAGTTTTCTCCTTTTGTTAAGACTGTTTATAGTGTTAGTGTATTATAGTATAATACAAGGTAGGATGTATTAGCTTAGGTTAAGCTGTATTTGGCTCGGTTTCATTTGGTTAGGTTGAGCTACGTTAGGTTAGGTAGGTTTATAAAATCCGTTGGCGAATCGTCTTGTGTACGAATATGACATATCTGTCAGCATGGCCCTCCGTCCATCCTTGCCGCTGCTAGCTTCAACAACGTTAATGAACTACAGATGCACGAGTAATAATCTGTCACCAGAATTCAACTCATTGATCACTAATTAATCATAATACAATTGAACTTTGATTACTATACAAAAAGAAATCCAACTTGGTATCTCGGGTCCCCTATACATGGGTCCTGGTAGTACAGTCGGATTCGTTTTCAGCCTACAATCGAGAATTCTGGGTTCGAATCCTGGGAGGCACAGAAAAGACCCTGTCCACAGATACAAGTCACATCGTACCAAAGACGATTCGTCAACGGATTTTATAACTTGTCTAACCTAACGTAACCTAATTTAATGCACCCGAGCAAAATACAACATAACCTAAGCAAATAGATCGTAACATAGAAATATACATAGTTTTTAACAAACTGAAACCGAGCTTCGTCAAAGTGGTTTGTGTCCGAAATGACCAGACATCAGTCCACCTAGCAGTAAATAAGTACGTCAGGAGTTAACTAGCTTGTCGGGTTGCACCCCAGGGGAGGGGACCTCCATATACTGTAAGTTTAACATAATAATAATATACTGTAATAATAATAATAATATACTGTAGTAATAATCATAATATTCTGTAATAATAATAATAATATACAGTACTGTATAAACTGTGTATCCAACACTATAATAATAATAAATAAATAACAATAAATATTTATTCAGGTAAAAATTACATACATACAAGATGTTCACACTTAATTATTAAAAATTGAATTAATATACAGTACTGTACTGTACAGTATATGGTTTTTAAAATTGGAAAACAAACTTTCATAACATTTGTGAACAATTTAACTATACCCCCAGCACTATATTAGTGAATGCCCAGTTAGAGAATTTTAGACCAAATAATGGTACAAGATACCTGGAAACTTTATACAGTATAATTTCATGGATATCAAAAGATATGATCAAGAGTCTATCCAAAGTTTGGCAATGCAAGCTGGTAGACTAAACTTGCATCTAACATATGACCACAACCATCCTTTATAATTCCCTTTAATAAATTTTTTTGGATGGGGATGTTAGGATGTAATGCTTATTTTTTTGTTGCGAGGCTTGAGCAGTTAGAACCAGTGAATTGGTGTGATAATGGAATCTCTGACCTTGATAAAGAGGCATGCAGCCTTATGTTGATTAGGGGTTAGCAGCTTATCTAATCTTATGTACAGTATTTGGATAACTGTGTGCTGAGACCCCTAATTAGCTTGGCTATTTGAGTTTGTAGTTTATTAACACATTTTGTTTCATGCCTGCCTTTGTGGCTACTCTAATCTATACGAATGGCTACAGAGGTTGACGGTCAACAGTCTCCGTGGTGTAGTGGTAAGACACTCGCCTGGCAAAATTTGATGACAGGTAGACAGTGTATATATATACAGTACACGTTAGGCTTGTATTGAGGTCCCACCCATGGTCGAATTATTGACCCTCCACAGGATACAACCCCACAACAGGCTGACAAACTCTTGTGTACTTATTTAGTGCAAGGTGAACAGGTGTAATAGGTGATAGTAAATGCACCCAACCATTTGTCCAGTTCAGATTTAATCCCAGAATTTCTGATTGAGAGTCGCAAATGACCCCGACTGTATTACTGGAACCCAATATATTATTGTACCTATTATCAACATACTGTTCAGTATATTTAAATCCTAATTCCTTTGGATATCATTATTTTTTATTTCTAATTTTTCAAAGAACTTGGTGTAAAGCACTATAATTTTTTTCAGGAACTGTATATATATTTTCAGAATGGCTTGGGGTTCATTGACAGGAAGGACATCAATGAAGATTGCTGGAAAAGGTCTGAAAATTCTCTGGAACCGATGCAGACCATGTGTTGTTGCTGCCATTGTTGTTGTTGGTGCCATCAAAATCACCACTTATATTAAAAGGCAGAATAGAAGGTAGCTATTATAACATCGTTGTTGACAAAATCAATGTGCAATATTGCCTAATCGACAGTATTGATTTATTAAGGAAACTCAGTACGGTTGTGTGGATGCATTATCACCACAGGTTCTGATGTTGCAATTTGCGACATCCGAAAGAAAAATTGTGTTCTTGTGCTGCAGGTTGCTACATCCATTTTGAAAATGTTGACAATTTATCCCTTATGCAACCATTTACATTATAATGGTGTAAATATGCATCATCCAGAAAACTTGTACATTATTTTACTAGCATTCTGGTATTGATAGAAACTAGATGTGAATTTTGTCATTTAGCATTACTAGATGAAGTACCTGGTAGTGCCCAGAATGTGTGTCCCCCATTCTCCCAATTTTTTCCCCTCTTCCCCCATTTTACCTCTCCCTCCCCCCCCCATCCCCTCCTCTCTCTCCTTCCCCAATAACTCCCCTCTGTCCTCTTACCCATTACCCCATCTGTCCTCTTTCCCTATATCCCCCTCTCGCCTTTTCACTATATACCCCTTCCCCTTCTCTCCTCTTTCCTTAATACCCCCTTTTCTTGAGATTATCTTGATTTCGGGGCTTAGCGTCCCCACGGCCCGGTCCTCGACCAGACCTCCTTTTTGTTACACACCACCAGGAAGCAGCCTGTAGCAGCTGTCTCACTCCCAGGTACCTATTTACTACTAGGTAACGGGCATCAGGGTGAAAGAAACTCTGCCCATTTGTTTCCGCCTCCACCGGGGGTTGAACCCAGAACCTCAGGACTACGAATCCGAAGCGCTGTCCACTCAGCTGTCAGAACCCCTCTCTATTCTCTTCCTCTCTTCCCTTATACCCCCCCCCCCCGTCTTTTTTTTTTTTTTTTTTTCCTTCTCCCATATTCCTTTTTCCTCCCTTCTTCTTTCTTCTTGCCAACATATGTACTTAATGCAGCAATGCTTGCTTGTATGTTATGTACTTAATGCAGCAATGCTTGCTTGTATGTTTGTACATTATTGTTGCTAGCCACATTTCTTGTAATGGTGCTTTTAATGCATTTATAAACATGAAGTTGTTTCAACAGGAAGTTGTGGAATAATGTTGGGAAAGATGTTGTGGTGTTGCACATGTTCGACCGTGGCCGCTACTGTCCAAATTTATCTCCATTCGTGGTCAAATTGGAGACATACCTACGAATGGCTGAGATCCCTTACCAGGTTCGGAATTACCAGTCTGCCACTTTATCTCAAATATTCTTCAGCAAAATAGTGAAACTTTTTCACTAAATTTTGTAAGTGGAAAAGGTATACTAACTCCAATTTATGAATTTATTTTGCATCATGATAAGTTGGAATTTAAAAAAAAATTATACTGTACATAAAAACTTGTACAGTAGCTTGAATAGTATTGTGTAGCATGTTAGACTATACACACTGTGATAAGTATCATTGAGTCTGGTAAGTATTGATGAATATAGACATTTAACTTGAGATTGGGGGGTCTTTGACAAGAAACACATCAGTCAATTTTGAGTGTGCTTAAAGTTAAAAATATATATGTACACTACCTCATATCTCCAAGTAGAATGTAATAGCACTGTACATTGTTGTAAGAGCAAAACTAAAATGAGGCAAAAAAGTAATAAACATTAAACAAAATAATTTTAAAGCTTGCAAGTTATTACTGCACAGTACTAGTAATCTACTGTGTGTGTGTGTGTGTGTGTGTGTGTGTGTGTGTGTAATTACCTAAGTGTAATTACCTAAGTGTAGTTACAGGATGAGAGCTACGCTCGTGGTGTCCCGTCTTCCCAGCACTCTTTGTCATATAACGCTTTGAAACTACTGACGGTCTTGGCCTCCACCACCTTCTCACTTAACTTGTTCCAACCGTCTACCACTCTATTTGCGAAGGTGAATTTTCTTATATTTCTTCGGCATCTGTGTTTAGCTAGTTTAAATCTATGACCTCTTGTTCTTGAAGTGCCAGGTCTCAGGAATCCTTCCCTGTCGATTTTATCAATTCCTGTTACTATTTTGTACGTAGTGATCATATCACCTCTTTTTCTTCTGTCTTCTAGTTTTGGCATGTTTAATGCTTCCAACCTCTCCTCGTAGCTCTTGCCCTTCAGTTCTGGGAGCCACTTAGTAGCATGTCTTTGCACCTTTTCCAGCTTGTTGATGTGCTTCTTAAGATATGGGCACCACACAACAACTGCGTATTCTAGCTTTGGCCTAACAAAAGTCATGAACAATTTCTTTAGTATATTGCCATCCATGTATTTAAATGCAATTCTGAAGTTAGAAAGCATCGCATAGGCTCCTTGCACAATATTCTTTATGTGGTCCTCAGGTGATAGTTTTCTATCTAGAACCACCCCTAGATCTTTTTCTTTATCAGAATTCTTTAAAGATTTCTCACATAATATATAGGTTGTATGGGGTCTATGTTCTCCTATTCCACATTCCATAACATGACATTTATTAACATTAAATTCCATTTGCCAGGTGGTGCTCCATATACTTATTTTGTCCAGGTCTTCTTGAAGGGCATGACAATCATCTAAATTTCTTATCCTTCCTATTATCTTAGCATCATCAGCAAACATGTTCATATAATTCTGTATACCAACTGGTAGATCATTTATGTACACAATAAACATCACTGGTGCAAGAACTGAACCCTGTGGTACTCCACTTGTGACATTTCTCCATTCCGATACATTGCCTCTGATTACTGCCCTCATTTTTCTATCAGTCAGAAAATTTTTCATCCATGATAGAAGCTTACCTGTCACCCCTCCAATATTTTCCAGTTTCCAGAACAACCTCTTATGTGGAACTCTGTCGAAAGCCTTTTTTAGGTCCAGATAGATGCAGTCAACCCAGCCATCTCTTTCCTGTAATATCTCTGTGGCCCGATCATAGAAACTGAGTAAATTCGATACACAGGATCTTCCTGATCGAAAACCATACTGTCTGTCTGATATTATATCATTTCTCTCCAGGTGTTCTACCCATTTAGTTTTGATTAGCTTTTCCAATACTTTCACTATTACACTTGTCAATGATACAGGTCTATAATTGAGGGGGTCTTCCCTGCTGCCACTTTTGTAGATTGGAACTATGTTAGCCTGTTTCCACACGTCTGCTACGATTCCTGTACACAGGGATGCCTGAAAGATCAGGTGAAGTGGAATGCTGAGCTCAGATGCACATTCTCTCAGAACCCATGGTGAAACGCCATCTGGGCCAGCTGCTTTGTTCCTCCCGAGCTCCTTTAGCATATTTTCCACTTCATCTCTAGACAACTCTATCCGCTCTATGTTGTTCTCTGGAATTCTTATTGTGTCTGGTTCTCTGAAGATTTCATTTTGTACAAACACACTTTGGAACTTTTCATTTAATGTTTCACACATTTCCTTTTCATTTTCCGTGAATCTGTTTCCCATTTTCAACCTCTGGATATTATCCTTTACGTGCAATTTGTTGTTTATGAATTTGTAGAATAGGCCCGGTTCTGTTTTACATTTATCTGCTATCCCTTTTTCAAAATTTCTTTCTGCCTCTCTCCTTACTGCTGTATAGTTGTTTCTCGCATCTTTGTATCGCTGGTATGTTTGGGGGTTTGGCCTCTTCCTATACTGATACCATTTTTGTGTCTTTTGGTCTCTTGCCCTCTCACAATTTCTGTCGAACCAATCCTGTTTTCTGGTCCTGCATCTCTGTTTTGGTATGAATGTTTGTGTGCCTTCCTCGTATAGTTTTAAAAATTTGGCATACATTTCATTTACTTCCCTGCCTAGCAACAATTCTGTCCAATTACACTCATTAAAAAAATTTCGAAGTTCCCCATAGTTGCCTCTCTTTAAATCGAGTTTATCAACTGTTTCAATGTCCCCATTTTCTTCTAGATGATATCTTAAAGCATATTTAATGTCTAACAGGACGTGATCACTCTTTCCCAAGGGAGGAAGGTACTGGATGTCAAAAATCTCTTCTTCTTTCCTGGTGAATACTAGATCCAGTACTGACGGTACATCTCCTTCCCTCATTCTTGTGGCTTGCTTTATGTGTTGATACAAGAATGTCTCCAGAATGAGGTTCACAAATCTGCATGTCCAAAAGTCCTCCGTTCTTGCTTCATAGGCCTCCCAGTCTATTGCTCTAAAGTTGAAGTCCCCCAGTATCAACAGTCGTGATTTATCTTTATCTGCTTGTACAATAATATCTCTCATGACCATTATGAGGCCCTCTCGTTTGTCATCCAGTTCTTCCTTTGTCCACGTGTTGCTTGCTGGTGGGCTGTAGGTATTTACAATTATCAGGTTATCCTGATTCCAGACCTGCAATGCCATTATGTCAATATCTCGAGGGTTTTCAAATATTAACTCTTTTACCTTCAGGTGTTTTTTCACCAGTACAGCCACTCCTCCTCCCTTCCTAGTTTTCCTGTCACGTCTCCAAACTGAGTAGCCTCTTGGGAATATGACTTCATTTATTATATTTCCTTCAAGTTTCGTTTCTGATAATGCAACAATATCTGGGACCCTAAGCTGGATTATATCTTGCAACTCCAAAGTTTTTGACCTCACTCCATCTATGTTGGTATATACAATTTTCAGGAACATGTTCCCTTTTCCTTTGCTCTTTACTCCCCCTTCCACTACTGATCTTGTTGCTTTGTTTTTATGTACCATTTCACAAGCTTTCCAGTCCCTGTCACTTTGTAAAAAAAAGAATTTCTGTCTTCTTCATTTCTATCCCCATTTAGACGTTTTGCCTCAATTAAGTTCATTTTCAGCTTTTCTCTGTCTTCCTTGGAGAGGTCTTGTCTTATTGACCAAAATTTGCCAACCTCATCACTCTGCAGTTTCCTGGCATTTCTTAGCACTTCCATCATGTTTTTCACACCATTAAACGTCACCCACCAGATGGCAGTACGTGCCTAGGTGTTATCAGTTTCCAGGTGTGTCATGTGGCCTCACAGTATTGAGAGTAAGTTTTATATGCGCTTTATATCAGGTACTCGGTTCAACCCACCCCACCTTCCCCCATCATGTTTACGGCACTCGGCCAGACCAATGTCATGACATACCACCCTGGGGATGTGTTTCTTGGTTACCCCTAAGCAATCAAAACCCTCTTTAGTTTAGATAAGGTTTTAATTTAAAAATATATATTTTTTAGGTGGATTATGAAGAGCCATTTGGACCTAAGGGTAAATCTCCATGGATTACTCTCAATGGGGAAGAAATAGGGGATTCTCAGCTGATAATGGAGAAGTTAGGGCCATTGTATAACAAGGATTTCAGTTCTACTCTAACACAAGAACAGAAGGCAGTTGCCCATTTCATGAGGCTAATGATTGAAGACCATTTCCTATGGTAAGCTGATGTTTTTATTTGTCCAGTTTTAACTAGTCAGAGTTAACCAGTTCTCCAAACTCTTGCATATTGTATCGATTGGTAGAGATTTGGAAATTTGGAGTTGTATATAAAAGTGTTTGACAATGGAGGCAGAGCTCATTGTAGCCAATACTATAGTTTATCTTTTGTCAGAGGTACAGTAAACAATGTTTGTTGTCCCTTCTTTCAAGGTCAAAACTATAAACAAGCAGTTGTTCATTTATAACTGATTTAGTCTTCAAAATACAACCTCAGATTGGGTGTTGGCATAATATTGGATTAACTTTGTTGGTTATTAATTAATTAATATTCATACATCCTCAGATTAATGTTAAAAATTATACAGTTGTATGATATTAGATCAACAATAGTGATATGTTATCAATATTATTGATGTTCTAACATCAAATTAACGTAAACTATGTTGATTCAATGTTACTTTTTTCTGAGTTTTGTAGAATTTTAGACAAACATTTAATATTATGAAATAATATATATCTCGCTTTTTTTTTAATTGGCAGACTTCCTAAGTCCTGCTTCCTTGTGCTCCACTTTATTTGCTAAATGATATGTACTGTATTTGTGTAGCTATGATGAAGATAAGTAACTTGTAGATATTTGTGTAGCTATGATAAAGATAAGTAATTGATAAATATTTGTGTAGCTATGATAAAAGATAGCAAGAAAGTACTTATTGTGCAGTATTAGCTAACTAGTAGATCTCTTCACTACTACAGGTGCTTTGTGGTTTGGCGCTACACTGTAGATGGTGGTCGTACGTTTGTAAATGGCATGGAGTTGCCCATTTTTATGCGCTTGTTTGTTCCAAGCTTAGTGAAGAGAGTAAAGCACATGACAAAAATGCAAGGTATTGGCCTACACAGCCATACTGAAGTGGAGGAGATGGGGAGAAAAGATATTGCTGCACTCTCTGTCTACCTTGGTAAGTAATATTATCCTCTTCATGAATTATAATTCCTGTATAGTTCAGTAATTTACTCTTCTGTATTTGAAAATATTTAAATATGCAGATTGGTTTATATTTAACACCCCCCAAAATGCAAGGTAATTGAAGGGCCTCTTGCCAGTTAAAAAAAATATGTTGAATATTCGTTAATGAAAAGCTTCCTTCTGTTTTTTATGTATGATAAATTTGCAGAACTGAGTCATTACAAGCTTTCACTCAAATCTATAAACAACAAATAAGTAATCAAATAGTAAAGTCATTCATTTTGACATGAAGGCTACATCTACTGAAATACATTATACTAATGAGTACTGCTTGATGCTCACTTATTCCCTTCAAAGCAGGAGAAATTGCTGAAATGGAATACAGAGAAGATGTATGGCACACAGACACGATAAAGCATCTAAATACAATTGGAATTGGCCCAAAGCTCTCAAAATGTACTCTATGGAAAGGAGACTTGAGAAGTATCAATTAATATATACTGTACATGGAAAATACTGGAAATCAAAGTCCCAGATTTACACAGTAAAATAACAACATATTGGAGTAAATGATATGAGAGGAAATGCAGAATAGAGCAGCGAAGAGAAGTGCCATAGGCACAATCAGAGAACACTGTATGAACATCAGAGGTCCATGGCTGTTCAATATCCTCCCAGCAACCATTAGAAATATTGCCAGAACAAAAAAATGTCAGACCAATCGGGTTGCGGTGGATATGTGGGCTTGCAAGCAACTCCAAGCAACATTCAGTTAGGCCAAGCTCACAGGTCAAGCCTGACCCCAGGCCTGGCTTGAAAAGTAGAAGAATTCTCAGAACCACTTCAGGTTTAACTGAAAAAAATTAAATGTCAAAATCTAGAATTAAGTGTGCTTACTTACTAGGAAAGGCAAATGTCTAAAAGTCTGACAACTCTTCAATCATTGTATTACAGGACTGGCCTTAGACACTATATATCACACAAGTTTGATGATGTAAACGCCAACATTATCAAGAGGTCTTGTATGATACATAGCAGACACAACTTCAAGCTTCCTAAGGTATGGTAATTATCAGGAGAAAATGTTAAACCAGCATGACTATATTGCACTTGAAAGGGATAGAACAAACTAAGAGCATGGATGAAGCAGCAGTTCCCGTACACTTTTGCTATTGGAGATCAAACACTGACCCTACAAGAATTGGGGGGGGGCCATTGCTCAACTGTTGGAGATTGATGCTGACCCTACAAGAAGTGAAGTTGTTGCTGTACTGGCCCATCCAAGTGGATGGACGAATGCACAGTTCTGTAGAGATGACTTTTTTCATTTCTTATGTTGAAGACAAAGCTTTACAGGCAGTTATGAAAAATTGAAAGTCAAAAGTCTTCAGGAAAACACAGGGTAGAAATCCTTTCTGCAAGATGGCTGTGGTATAAAAAAAAAGCTTGATTCTTGAATTGGTGATAGACTTTTTATCTATGAGAAGCTGCAGTTTGACTACAGTATTTCAAAACCATTCTTTAAGGGGGTGGATACAGAGTTTGCAAGTTCATGAGGGCAAATCATCTTTAGGAACAAGACCAATGCAGCTGTTGTGGGGCTGCATCCTGGGAAAAGTCAGTAGTTCAACCTTGGGGGGGACCTCAATTCAAGTCTAAAGTAGATAAATATATAGGCAGGCTTCTTGTCTTGGGCAAAATTATTTATTATTATTATTTATTAATACTGTATTCTCATATTATCTATTCTTGCTATGCACTATTTTAAAGGGAATTGCAATAACGTGATTGTTACTTCAGGTGTAACATCATGTGGAGATGGGTATTCGATTCTGCATGTGGAGTGTCCTCTCTCAATGACTGGAGGACGTGGTTGCCATTTCATTGGTTTTACCGTCCTCTTGTAGGCTATTTGCTTTATGCTCAGGCATATATGCAAGGCATTGGCCGACATTCTCAAGTTGAAGTGCTTGCTATGGGACATACGGATCTTCAGACACTAGCTATTTTTCTGGGTAATATCTCTGATGTTCAGAGGTATCTTTTTGTTACTTAACTGCTACACATTTTGCATTCCTTTGTACTGTATATGCACCCTTTATGTAAAATATGTAGGATTGTTCTAATTAGCAATTGTAAAAGTTGTAAAAAAAGAGAGAATTGCTGGAATCGAGGAATGTAACTGTTTACCAATGTATATAATTAATTTGTACATGGTATTCTTAATTACCCTGTATAATATCCTAAGAGAATTTGATGATGGAAATTCAACTTTGGTTTTATCACATTTTTAGCATGTACAGTATAAGACATTTAAGTTTGCTGGGTTCCCGGCCATATTGGTCTTGCCTACAATAACCTAACAGATGTCACTGCTAAAGAAACCATTCATACCTGTCCCATCTGCCATAGGACAATTCCTCGCATGAATTTCTACCCCGTCATTCATGATACGATCTATAACCATTTTGGAGATATATTGGTTGCCATGCATTACAAATTGTTGACAAATGTAACCTATCTTTTGGCCTTCCTCCCATTATTGAAACTGAAAATGGGAAATAGTTATCCTAGCCTATTTAGTTTTTTTGTACTGCAATCTGCTTTCAAAGTAATTAATTATGATGCACACTTTCACTTTAGTTTTGCATGCTTCATTTTTGCTATTGTAAAGAGAAGAAAATGTTTGACGTTTAGAAATTCAGTCTGTGGAAACATCAAAAAGTCTGTTTTAACCAGTATTTGCTAAAGACTTCCTGGCATAGTGCCTTTTTGTTAATAATTACTTACTTAACCAGTAGCCTTGAGAAGCTTATAAAAGCTAAGGGGATGTCATTAGAAGTGTATAAGTACTTGATCACACATTTCAGGGGACAAACAGTACCTGATGGGTGAGGAACCAGCTGAAGTGGATTGTTCAGTCTTTGGAATGCTGTCACAGATTGTATGGAACTCTCCAAACTCTCCCTACCTCAGGATGCTCGACAGTAAGTAAACTAGTTATGTATCACAAAATGCAACATCTAATGCTTTTGAAAATGGTTAACAGCATAGGTCAAACTTATAAGAGAGAAGACCCTTAACAAATGCCCTCAAATAAATAATACATTCGTACATACACATGGCACTACAAAACTTAAATGGTTTCAGTACCCGACCCCAGAGACCTCATTCCCAATATAACATAACCTCATGCCACTGTTGAAAATTAACATTATGCCAATTGATTTTTTTAATGCAATTTGCCATTTTATTTATGATTTAAAATTTGACTTTTCATTTTGCATTTTACTATTATCTATGATGTGATACAGGTGTTTTTTATTTGTAGATGAATTCACCAATCTTCATGCTTACTGCCAACGCATGAAAGCAAGGTTTTGGGCTGACTGGAATGAGTGCCTTAAACCACCTCTGCCGGTGTCCCAGTAATGAACTGCATATTGTACATCTTTTTTAATTAATAAAACAATTCTTTAATGTGTCATAATGTTTTTAATCTTCATGTGAGAGAAAATAAACAGTTTTGAACCATTTTGTGTTAATGATTATTGAAGAAATTGGTGTTTGCAATGGTAAATGTAAATTATTTTGTTAGATGATTAACAAAAAGATAAAACAATTTTCTGTATGTATTATAACTGGTTAACAAAAAGATAATTAAAACTAAATACTGTGTAGCTTTGTGTGGACAGTTAGCAAACTTGCCATAAAAAGTAAATAGAGTCCATTTTATAATGTTTCAAATTGATCAGAATCTGATCAGATTGATGTGGTGCCAATTATTAGTTACAATGGGGACTGTAGTGATTATTATAAATAAAGACTATTCAACTGAGGGTTGAATTTCTGTATTTGTTTTTTTCATTAAACACTACATTATCATGGAGAAAACATTATCCCTTGTTACCGTTTGATTACTTTAGTGCCATACTGTATTTGAAAAAGTCACTTTTGAGTAGAGTTGTACTGTTGGGTGGAGTGAGAACGGTAGGCAAAAAGTAGTTAACTCATAATTGATTAGATGAAGTAATATGGAAAAGTTTAAAAATATAAACATAAATTAAAGCAACAAAATTTATGAGTAGGAGTAAGCCGAGGATCAAGAATGAGCGAGTTTGGTTTGGACGAGAGCGAGGAGCCGGGGTTGGATGAGCATGTGTGGTCATGGGAGTTAGACAAGTGTGGTGATGACCTTTCAATTTTGTTAATTTACCGTTATGTTCTACCAGTAGCTTTATTAAATACATATTTGTGCAGTACAGTACGGTACTGTATTTCCTAGCTGTTATTAACGTTAAAAGCTACTTCTGTACTGTTGCTAGAAGTACAGAATCAGTACTGTAGTGGTCTATGCCTGTCATCATTACTGTATATCATTTGTTATATTTCTTGAAAATTCTTACACATCTTCGCTTGCTTCTCTTTTTATTAAATGTTTATTATGTGTCAATAATTTTTTTATTTAAATTATTCTAAGTTTTTGCTTGGAATGCCTTGCATAGTAGTGGCTTCATTTTTATGATTAACCCCAGTACCTACAATTGTCCCTTCATCTAATATTCTTTACACACATTCTCATGAATAAAATCATTTGTACAGAACAGTATTACTATTATTACAATTGTTTATTTTTTACCATTTCAAAAGCCTATCTAGATCACCTTGAGATGATTTTGATCTGAATATCTTTCCCTCCTAATTTTCATATCGTCTGCAAATTGGCAAATATTTTTGCTTAATTCTGGATCTAAATTATTTGTACAGTACAGTATATGGTAAGAGGTCTCGGGACAGAACCCTGAGGCGCTCCACTTAAAATGGTTGTTGGTCTTCTGTTACTGGTAACAAACTGCGTACTCTTAAAAGTAGTGTGTCCTCATGGCCGTCCTCCTACCACCATAACCGGCGATGGGAAACAGCTCTGGCTAGGTTATGTATTGGCCATACACGTTTAACTCTTGGTCATTTAATGGAGTGCCGCCGTGCTCCTTATTGTCCAAATTGCATTGTTCCTCTTACGGTTGTGCACATTCTTGTTGAATGTCCTGACTTCCAGGACGAGCGTGTGTCTTGCTTTCCGACTGTCCCTCGATAGAATTCTTGGTGAATCGGATACTTTTGATATCGTTCGCCTTGTGCGTTTCCGTTCTCGTATTGGCATCCTTGGTGATATTTAGCACCATGTCATTACTCCGCACATTTGGTGGTGCTACAGAGCCTTCCCGGTTTGGTGCCTTCCTTTGATAATTACTTACTCTTTAAGCACCCTGGCAAACATATTAGTGGGGCCTGGGACTTGTTTGGCTTATTTTTTTCTTTGTTTAATAACTTCCTCCCTGGTAATCACTAGTTAACCTGTACTTTTCTCCATCAATATAGTTTTGTTTAGCTGAAGGCTTAATGTTAACCTTCCGTATGCCTTTTCCCTGCAACCCACAACTTACATATACCACTACCCCAATATTAGTTTGTATATAATTATAAAAACTAATTTTGTTGTAATTTTATGGATTCGGCGGGTAGGTGGTTCCTGGGTTTATAACTGAAAAAACATGTTTTCTGTCCTATATTGTGGCTTGTTGAGCATAAAGCTGTTGCTCTTTGTATGTGTTTCATTTGACGATTTAAATTAGTGGGGTGGTCAATATCCTCCAAATTGTTCAGTATTTTAATAGTTTCTTTGAAGTCGGCCCTGTTAAGTCTGGTTTGCAGTGTTGTTAGTCCTGTGGCCCTCAACCATTTTTGGTCTGATTTTTTGTCTCTGGATATTACTTTCTCCAAAAAAAACCGTGTCTTTCATGAAGTTTCCGTAATTAAATACAGTGGACCAGATGGGGGCGCACAAAAGATTTGTACAGTTGAATAATTATACATTTACAGACTATTTACCACAAGGGGACACAGGTGGAAATTGAGTGCCCAAATGAGCCATAGAGATGGTAGAAAGAATTTTTTCAGTGTCAGAGTAGTAGACAAATGGAATGCATTAGGCAGTGATGTGGTGGAGGCTAACTCCATATACAGCTTCAAGTGTAGATATGACAGAACCGGCTCAGGAACCAGTACACCAGTCGATTGACAGTTGAGAGGCGGAACCAAAGAGCCAGAGCTCAACCCCCGCAAGCACAATTAGGTAAGTACATTCTTTTCCTTGAAGTCAAAAGTTCGTTTGACAATTACTTTTTTTTTATACTGCAGCTCTTACCTATGGAACTTTCAATGATTGACGGATTTTGACTCCAAGATCCTATTGTTCATCAATCTGCTGCAGGATAAAATGGTGTGGTAGTTGTGATGTGCATTGTTATGCTCCACATGCAAAGTCTTACATGTTCGATATTAAAAAGCATTTGTCAGGCTTTCCGACCATTTTTAGAGTTTGTGGTAATCTGTAAGATCTCAATGTAATTTTGAATTCCAACTTTGCCATAAATTTTGGAGTCATCTGCAAATTTGATAATGTGGGCTGGGAAAATGTATATGACAAAATGACTTTGCCTCAAGACTGAACCTTGCGGTGCCCCACTCACTATATTTCTCCAGTCAGATTTATTTCCGTTTAGGGTGACCCTTTGCTTTCTTTATTTTAACCATTGTTTTATCCATTCTAATATTTTGCCATTTATTCCTTATGCTTGTAATTTCATTGCCAGTGTTCCACGTGGTACATTATCAAATGTTTTACAGAAGTGTATACTATATCTACTGAAAGTCCTTTTGTCTGAACAGTACCGCGTCCAGAATGTGAACAGGTTTGTAAAGCAGGATTTACGTGACAAAACCATGTTGCGTTGATTTTGCTAGATTGTGCACAGTGAAATATAAAGACATGAAGTCGGGAGATGAGAACAGAGCGCAAACACTAGGACCATCGGGAATTGAACCCTGACCTGCAGGAAGCGAGGCCGTTGTTATATACTGACCGCTCCATGTACAGTATATATAAAATGGTTATACATGAGTTGAAACAATATTGATCATCCCACTTTTGAAACTTTCATAATATGCAGATTTTTGTGTTAGATATAAAGTTTAATTAACGAGACTTTTAAATTTAATTGAACCTGGAATGCGAACCCAGATACGTGAGGTAACAGAATACTATGCCACAAATGATCTAATGAACTAAAGCTTATCTAATTTATAATTAAACCACACTAATAGGTTGCCTTACTAAATGTCACTCAATAGCCAAATTAACAACCTTCTGTAACTTTCATGTGTACTAAGCAAGTATAAGTTATAGATTTACATCCATTGACGAGAGAAACAATTTTAGCTGTTTGTAAACTTCAACCAGACCGCGACACAGGTCAGCACTGTGACAATGTGGTAGAGGTTACTGAAGCCTAGTAGAACCCCGCTACCCCCTGCAACCCTCAACAACAAGCAGGTGGCCAGGGTTAATGTAATGAGAGTTTTACATATGTGGACTGTTGTCAAGAAATGGGATCAAGAACTGAAACTGAAATAAGTTTATTGAGGTAAAATACACACTAAGGGATGAGGTAGCTCAAGCTATTCTCACCCCGTTCAGTGCAACGTGTTCATACAGAAATAGACACAAGGAACTAAAGATAGTTTGTCAATAACGCAAACTACTGCATGCATTTACTGACGAAGCTAAATGTGTATATATGCTGGCTCAACTTGATGTGAGCAGCAAGACGTCATGCTAGGAGGACTCGCCAGGCAGTGACTGTGCACGCTCATGTGGACTCCTTACTCTAAGTGCGCATCTCCACATTAGTGCCGTTCATATTAATGTAAGTAGGGAATTTAACAATGCTTAAAAAGAACGATGATCGCGTGTTGAAAACTATTGCTGCAGAGGTTGACTTAACTAAAAAGATGAACCATAATGTCAGTTTATCCAGAACCAAATGCACCGATATTGACAATTGTCTTAGTCGAAGGTTGTCAGAATGTGTACTTGAAGTGAAAAGTGTCAGTGTGGTGGATGGTCGTCGCCGAGGTCGAGGAAGAGGCAGCAAGCTCCCTGCAGTGGGGCCACCAGCCACGCCTCCCCCGGGTGCCACCACACGGAAGGCATCTCCAAATGCCTCCAGCGCCGTCGACGCGGCTCACAGGTCTCCTGGAGTGGTGACAATCTCTCCAACACCAGCTAGGGAAATCAAACACCACACTCGGAGATCTTTTCGTCTATTCGCCGGACCCACAAAGCCTTCCTCATCCGGACATCAGAAGGCCTCGTCAGCCGTCTCCACGGGCCCCGCTCCACACCTCCGTCGTCGCTATGTCACCAAATTTAATTTCGCTCCGTATGTCTGTTATTGAAAATAATTTTCTTTCAGTATATCGTCCTATGTCCCTTCTTTAATCACTGTCAACTCTGTTAATAAGCAATATAATATCTCGAATTATTCATTGATTCCTACCGTTCTGCCAATATTTCCTCATTTAGATATATTAAAAAAAAATCACGTTAATATTGTTATTTAGTGCATAGTTGATTGAAGTATTCTTGCCTGAAGGAGTTCTTAGTATTGATGTAATATAATGCGAGGTTCGGAAAGTGACATTTGTCTTCAGGGAAGCTGTGGTATGCATTACTTCCCATGTGCTTTATTTGTTGTACTTTTTTTTTTTTTTTTTTTTTTTTTTTTTTGAGATATATACAAGAGTTGTTACATTCTTGTACAGCCACTAGTACGCGTAGCGTTTCGGGCAAGTCCTTAATCCTGTGGTCCCTGGAATACGATCTCCTGCCGCGAAGAATCGTTTCAAGCTGTGTTATCAATACACTGCTTATATTGCACTTTTTGTCATGCACAGCTCACTATGTATTGTTTGTCATGCACCGTTTTCCATGTTCTATATGTTTGACATGTTCTATACTTTTGTCATATATTTTTTTATTGTAAATGTATTTTTTTAATAAATTAATAAATGCGTGTTTTGTAAGATTAATTAATAGATGAAGGAGAAATAAAGCAGTATACAAGAAAATAATTTAAAATAATATTTAATGCGTCGCTTAATAGAACGTTATGAAAACGCAGAGAAAAATACAATTAAAATATAATGTAGTCTAAAAATTTGTAGCAAGAATGGGAGTTGGCTACATACAGGTCACGTACTGAATATTTTATATACCGTTTGCTACATATGAACACTTTTACCTTTGTAAATAATATTAATCATATTTTAAATACAACATTTTAATAATATGGTTATGAACTGTAAAAATAAGCAACTGAGCGTTGTTTAATAGTATAGAGTAGGGTTATTAATTGTGTGAGGCGGAGATGGCGGCGGCTGGGGTGGCGTCACTGGTACTCCCGGCCGCCACCACCAAGCATCATCCCCCGCGCTCCTCAACCTCTCCTCCTCTAAACCGCCACCATGAGTAAGGCACATCCTCCAGAGCTCAAGAAGTAAGTTACAGGACCCCTTGTCGTTGTGTTCCAGGGAAGATTGAGGGGGAGGGTAGTTATGGGTGGTGAAGCTAGATAATGAAAGGGAGTTGGCGGCCATGTGGGGCAGGTGGTGGCGCCGCTGGTCTGGTCCAACGCCTCGCTTGATGGTATAGATTGGTGTAGGTTCGAGCAAACCGAGTATGACTAAATAATCTCTGGAGGCACAGAAGGCCGTAGCCGCTAGTGGTTGAGGCTGGCCTCATGGGCGCTCACAACGTCATTAAACTGAAGGACCTCGGACCTGGCCCAGCCTCGGACCCCTCCATTATTAAAGTGGTCATCACGTCAGTTCTGCCAGTTGCTGGGATTTTTTTAGTACGTCATTTTTTTAACTTTGGGGGATATATACGTTAAAAGTTGATGAGGTTGAGCAGTTGTGGGTCAAATTGTCCGATTGTGAGTGTTGTAAACAGTCCCGGGAGTCAGACCGGCCACCTCCCACACAATATATGCATTCGGTTTCAACTATTTTTAACCCTGTCGTAGCTCAGTTGATTAAGGCAGTGTCTGGGATGCTTCCGGACGCAGGTTCGAATCCTCGTCACAGCCCTTGTGGATTTGTTCATTTGATGCATCACGTTAGTGTGAATTCTGTGTGTAAAGTTTTGTCAGGTTTAAGAGTAGTGACGGCGTTGAAACTTTTTAATCCAGTCGATTCTACCCTGAAGCTAAACACAAACGTAACTGAATCTTATTTAAATTATCTTATCCTTCACATAACCAAATAATTTTTAATTGCGCTTTTTGCAGACAGGAAGCCTGTGTGTATATGCGTACTTAGGCTTGTATCACGGTCGCTCTCAATGTTGAACTACTGACCTGCCCCTAGATGCAACCCCACAGGTTGTATAGTAATGACTAATATGCAATTATTTGCCAGTAATAGCTTGTATTATATGCAGTGTTCAAAATTATAAATAGATAATGATTTTTTTATGTAAATGTAAAAAAATGTCATTATGGATTTGCATTTTTTTGTTACTTGTGTGCTTCAGGGTTATTATGAAGATACTTTGCTACACTACTATCCTTGTAAGTCACAGATCTGTTTATTATTTTAGATGTATGCCCATTGATTATCTTCTCTTGTGGGGGGGGGGGGTGATGCTTGGGGTCTGGTGAGTTGAGCGGAATCACTTATGAAACATATCAGTCTTCTCCCCAACCTCCGTAGGTTGTTCAAATGAAGATACCATACACTGTATCGTCTTGTGCATACATTAGCTGTTTGTCTTGCTTTGGAAACATTTAGGATTAGGTTTACTGATAACTGAACCTTGTACATGGTTGTTTTCATTGTCAGTGTCTTATGTCAGTACACTATCATCAATAAATAATTGCAGGTTCTTCACACACAGAGATCACACTAACGTGATGCATCAAATGAGGCGAATCATCATCACTAACGTGATGATGTAAGGGCGAAGAGGGAGAACGGCCTATTGACATCGCTCGGGTGCAGGGGGGGGGGGGGTTGTGTAAAAGCCTGGTTTGTGCCTCGGAGAGGCTACAGGATCCAGTAAGTTCAGTAGAACTTTGGTTTCAACCCTTTTAACCCTGTCGTAGCTCAGTCGATTAATAAACACTTTAATGCTCCCGGTTATCGCGAAAAAAACTGCGCATTGTGCGCGCGGCGTTTTTTTTTCTTTTGAGCGTAAACACCAAACAGTGTGTAATCTTTTCACTCTCCTGACACCAATTCTCGAGTTACTTATTTCCTTTTGGTATCAATGTGTTGGGAATAAAATTCTTTACAAGATCATATGTATAAAATGTAACCAAAGCATTAGCTATTCCACCACGAAATAAATAAAAACGTAGATCACTTGCCGTCTCGATGTACGCCCAAACAGCAATAAAATGTTCATACTCTTTTGTTTGTTGTCAGCTCCACATTAGTCCTACAGCATTAAATTTTATATCACTGAACTTGCAATAAAATTCTCTACACAGACATATGCATATAAATGCAGAATCATGATCGCGGCCAACACAAGAGTGTGTGAAGTGGGCGATTACCCTCGTTGTCACCAACTCAATAGTTTCTCCTCTTAAGTTACAATACAATGCCGTTTTCTCAAATAGGCACTGTGCCTATTAGAGAAAACAGAAATTTAATGGCAAACATATTCATACAAACCCCAAGTCGATCGAGTAGTATATACCTACTATAACACGGACCGTAAATGTACGACGCGACCCCACAAGCGCTAGAAAAAAACCGCTCGTACATCCAAGTGAAGGGGGCAGAAAAGTGTTAAGGCAGTGTCTGGGATGCTCCCGGATGCAGGTTCGAATCCTCGTCACGGCCCTTGTGGATTTGTTCATTGTAGGTTCTTGTTAATCATAATTAACACTTTTGCGCTCCTGGCATGCGCGCCACAAACTTAGAGGTCATGCTTCCGGCGTGCGGGCAAGCGCTCGGCGACCCCCAAATGTGTATACTCGTTTCAGTTTTCTCACCTTAATTCTCGTGGTATATTGTTCGTTTTGGTATCATTGTGTTCACAATAGAATTCCCTGCAGATTTATATGCATATAATGTACAAAAGCCTGGAGTGACTCCCCACAGCAAAGCCTAAATTTGGCAGAAGTTACCCGTGAGTGCACAAAATCAGTAAAATGTGTGTACTCGTTTGTTTTCTCACCCTAATTCTTGTGCTACATCGTTCGTTTTGGTATCATTGTTCGCAATTAAATCCCCTGCAGGTGTATATGTATATAATGTCCAAAAGCCTGGCGTGACTCCCCACAGCAAAGCCTAAAGTTACCCGTGAACGAGCACCAATTTGCACACAGCGGCCTAATTTGTATACTCGTTCAATTTGATAACATCAATTTTCGTCTTACATCTTTCATTTTGGTATGTAATTGTTCGCAATATAAAGGCACGTATTTTAAAACTAGTCCCATAATAATACAGCAATAGCTGGAATTTTAACAAATATTTTAAGTTTGGACGCTCATCACAAAATTGTTTACAGTATATCTTTCCAGTGTTCTAAAGTAAATTTTCACGTTACATCTTTCATTTTGGTATCAAATTGTTTCCAATCAAAAGGCACATATTTTAAAACTAGTCCCATAATAATAGCACAATAAATAGAATTTTAACAAATATTTTAAAATTTTGCCAAAAATGTATATAATCTTTCAGGTGTTCTGACATAGTTTCATGTTACATCTTTCATTTTGGTATCAAATTGTGCACAATTTAAAGACTCATTTTGAAACTATCCCAAAGTTGATCGGATAAAATATGAATTTTATACAAATATTTTATTGTTGGACTCGGTGTCATGAGATAGGACTCGGGAGAAAAATTGGTGACGCATTGTCACGAGATAGGGAAAGTGTTAAGTGATGCTGTCGCACAATCAGCATGTCGGTGCTGTGAGCTGCAGCAACATGGACTATCCACCAAGGAGTGCCGGACCAACCGGGCTGTGGTGGGTATGTGGGCCTGCGGGCCGCTCCAAGCAACAGCCTGGTGGACCAAACTCTCACAAGTCAAGCCTAGACTCGGGCCGGGCTTGGGGAGTAGAAGAACTCCCAAAACCCCATCAACCAGGTATGGTTGACCCCCGAATGCTGTTAGTACTGAAGCTCTTAACATCCTGGATGGGTGTCCATGATTTTTTCGAAGATATCTGATTGCTGGAGACCTGAAGAACAGGATCCGAACCCCTTTTACCCATGGGAGTTGTAAATCTTGTGCTAGACCTAAAAACCATGATTGTTGTGCACACCAATGAAATGACCCTGGTTATGTGCAGTTGAAGGATTAATTTAAATAATGGATGAGCCATGCACATTAATTAAAAATGACGTTGATACAGAACATGGTTGTTGTAAAAGAGTTCTCTACTCAAAATTGGGGATCCCAGGCATGACGAAGGGTTAGGTACATTTTCTTACACCTAATGCCTCTGTTCATCTAGCAGTAAATAGGTACCTAGGAGTTAGGCAACTGTTGTTGAGCTATATCCCGGGGGGGAGGTGCAATTTCCAATTTCAAGAAACTATGAAAGGGCACTTTTTCAGAGATATCAAAGTGATGCCATAAACCTCGACCTCAAAGAGTTCTGGAAAAAACATTTTAACATTTGTAGTGCTTTATAACTCATAGACAAAGCCCAGCAAGAAGTGACTCTTAAGAACCGTGATCTCTGGCTGGAGAAAATTGTGGCCTGAATGTGTTGCAGACTGAGGGGTTTGAACCTGAAGTGGCTCTAGTTGAGGAAATTGTTTCTCTGGGCTGACAATTGGGCTTGGAGTTGAATGGTGCTGTGGAGGAGTTGGAGGAGGAACACAGTGAAGAACTGACCACTGAAGAACTAACCCTTCACAAGGACCAGCAGCAACAAGAGACAGCTGAGGAAATTTCTATAGGGGAGGGGGAGGAGGCAGTATAGCATGTCCCTTGCTCAACAAGTGGTGTGGAATATCGGAAGAAATGCAAAGTTTTTTTTTTAAACGACTCCCAAATCAAGCTGCAGTAACCCATTGCCTTAACCTTTACCGACAAATGTTAAAACGTAGGGAAAAACAAGTCTATGGAAAGGTTCTTAGTGAAAAACAAGCAGTGAGCCACAACCATGTCCTAGTAGAATGCAGGCAAAACATAGGAGAGAGAGTGTACCCCTGAGAAGTCACTGTCTGATGTTATAATGGAAGGGGACTCCACTTTCAAACAGTAGCACCTCTTCCCCTCTCTCCCCTCCTCCCCCCTTCTCACTGTCTTCCATACACTAGCAAGTCATCAATAAAGGTAAGCTATAACTTGTACCTGTACATACCTTAGTCCAAAATGTGTATGTGTATTATATATCAAATGTATTTTGAAGTTAATATTTTTGGGCGTGTGGAACTGATTAATTCAATTGACATTTCTTATGGGAAAATTCGTTTCGCGTTATAAATTTTCAAGTTTTCGAGTGTGGAAACTGATTAAATTCGTAAATGGAGGGGCCACTGTACAGTATTACCAGGTATCACAATGGTAGGTAGTGTACTATATTGTATGTCTGTACTACTGTATATTGGTTTATTTTTCTTGTACATAAATTACAAGGTCATAAATTTCTTTTTTTTTACTATATAAGTATAGTGTTGGTTAAATTATCAAAGTACAGTTGAACATTATTAAGTGAACTAACACTGCACTAACCCTTTTTTATAGGTACATGGACAAGCGAGTGACTACAAAACTCAATGGAGGACGTGTGGTTGAGGGCACACTACGAGGATTTGATCCTTTCATGAATCTCGTGGTTGATGATGGCGTGGAAATCCGCAAAACTGGAGATCGTGTCAGGATTGGCGTTGTTGTAAGTTAACTTTAGTTAAGTATTTTTGTGCTTGCATTTCAACATTTAGTCCAGCATTTTTAAAACAGTTGACCTATGGATAACTTTTTATTTAACATGGTGTTTGGATTGGTTGATCATTACCTACCCTAAAATTTAGATTGTTGTTGATTGATAGCCATATGTGCAAACTTCTATTCAAAGAAATTACCTGAATTTTACCAACGGTCTTAGATTTGAAGGGAAAGAAGGGTGGGGTATGCTGCTTAAAACCTTGTAAATATATTGCTCAAATAAAGCTTAAAGCTATGGTCAGTTGGAAAAAGGTTATTTTTGCAAAGACCTTCGATATGTCTTTTTCATTAGACTTGCACCAATTTGAACCAAATTAAACATTCACTGCCTCTCACCACTCTACTCACAATTTTCAGGCCACCTATTGTTTAATTTCCTATTATCATTGTTAGGTAACTACCTCTTGGTGCCCTACTACCTTCTAATGGTTTGCATTGGACTCCTACTGTTAGTTTTCTGGTGTCTAGAATCTAATTTCTGCAAATTTTTGGCAAGACAGTAAAATTAATTTAATGCATACAAGGGCACAAATTTATACAGTATATGTTGATACCAAATCACAGTAGGAAAAAAGTACTTTGTGTACTTATTATTTTATGGATTATTGTACTGTACAATAATCCGAATTATATGGGATACACCCACTTTCTTGTGGCTGCTTCCTGGGGAAGGTGTAACAAAAAGGAGGCCTGGTCAAGGACCAGGCTGCGGGACGCTTAGCCCTGAAATCATCTCAAGATAACCTCAAGATTTCGAGTTAGCCAGGTTTTCACCTGGAAATTCCAGAAATTTAATTTTTTAATTTGAGTTTTCGTTTGCCATAAGTCTCTGTAACCGACACTTTTTATTAGTTGAGCAATCAAAAACCTAAACTTGATTTTATTTGGAGTACCTGAAGATTCGAGTTATTGGAATTTGGATTACCAAGTTCTTGCAGTACAGTACTTATAATATTTATCACAAAACAAAATACATATACTTCAGCTTGGCTACAGGTGTTATTTATATTACCATTTGATGCCACAGTTCCAGTACACTTGGGTGATGTGGTGTGGGTGTAAATTTTATAGGGGTGTATATTTGTGCTTTAGCGTTGTATTGGGAAAATTCTAATTCAAAATGTTTTCTTGACAGGTAATCCGGGGCAGCAGTATTATTATGCTTGAGGCACTAGATCGCATATCTTAAGTGATGTACAGTATTCATGATAGGTCCATTCTATACTTATTTTTCTTTCATTTCTTTCCAAGAGCTTTTGAAGTTTTCTATATGAACGAGTGAAGATAAATTGCATTCATAGTTTTTAAGTTCTTTAAATAAAAATAAATACAAACATCTTGTTTTGTTTAATCATTTATTTTTTTAAATAATTTACACTTCATTTAAATTGTTAAGAACAATTTAATGGCAAATTATTAATGCCTCAGGAATTGAGCATTTGAATAGTACCTGAAATGGTTGACAACCCCATTGAGTATATAGGCCAAGATGCTCACTAAATAAGAAAGCGAAAGGATGCACAAAAGTTTTAGCTCGACTGGATTTTGTATATAGTAAATACTGTAACAATTATAAACCTTTTGTAAGGCTGCATTGAATCAAATTATGCAATACAGTACAATGTTTTTTGTTGCATATTTCACATGTGTTAATTGTGGCAAGGTACTGAGCGTATGATTTTTACCCAATTTAAATAAGGTTTATGCTTACTTTCTTGAAGAGAATTTAATAAAATAATGTTGGACTACATTAACAAATACAGTATTTTGTTAAATTATATGAAGATAAGAAAATTATTTGGAAAAAACATAGGAGCTATTTATTTTGCAATATTAAGCAAACTATTTTTTAAATCCTTTTAATCATTAAGCTTTCCTTATTTAGTATAGCTTTGGCACAAGGTTTGTACAAGATGACAACTAAGCTTAATATTGATAATGTCTCCATTCATTAGCATGGAATAGTTACATGTTCCAGTTCTTACCTAACAAATACTGCAGTATCCTTAACGTTGTTTTCCACACTTATGACATTTCCGCTTCATGGTCAGTCAATGTCTGGACCATGAGGGGGTTAACATGGGTACAAAATCCTCTCCCCCTCCCCTTCCCCCTCATCCCTCTACAATGTTTCCTAAAAGGTTTTAAATTGTAAATGTTGCTCAAAACGCTTGCATTAAAGAAATTTGCAAGATTATAATAGCAAATTTAGTAACATTCTCCTTAACAAAAGTATAATCATGTGTAACAGACTTGTTCTGCCATAATTCAATACTAAATATTTGGTCTGGTTGAGATTCATTTTTAATGTATTGCCCATTAAAGTTTGCATTATTTTCAATAACATTGCAACATCCTGGGGACTGTATTGCAAATACTGTATCTATAAAAGTAGTGCTGTATATACAAAAACAGCAGTTTGTTGCTGGTATGTAATGACCAAAAAAACAGGATTGATAGGTGTAATTTCACTAGAGCTAATTAAGGTTTGTGGTGCTGATCAATAGAGAATCGGTTGTACCATAATGTATTATCATTTGTGCTAATGGTGGAAAGAAAGTAGATAGTACTGACTGATGGAGGAAAACAAAAGTTGTTAGATTTTATTAGGAAATAACATTTAGCCTGTAAGCGCTAATCAAATCTTCAACACACATGGCCAATGCTTTCAAGTGGGGAAAGGTGGTACAGATTTGGTTAAAGCCAATTCATTTAAAATGTTGCTTATTAATCTACTCGACTTTCATTTAAACATTTGTGCTATAAAAACAAAAATCTGACAACAGCAATAAACAACACACTGATACAGTGGAAAACTGGTTGCTACAGGAGGGTTCAAAATGAGTACAGTAGTGTTGTTCTAGGTTCCACACTGCACTTGTTCAGCAGCTTACCTGTAAGTTTGTACAAGAAACTAACTCTCACATAAGCTCTTTGGCATCACCTACCCATTATTACCTAACACTTTTACACCTTGACAATCTAGTTTACAGTTGTACTTGTTCTTGTAGGTGGCATTTCACTTGCATACTACTAGCACTGCTTGCAAATATTTTCTCAACTCTTGCTTTATTGACTTGTTATATTCTTATTTTATCCCTCACATTGGAAAAGGGTGTCCATGTTGATCTTCCCTATATTCCGCAGTTTTTTTTGTCTTGTTTCCTGTAAAGTTATTGAGGTCGAGTTGCCTTAACATGAACAAATCCACAAAGGCCGTTATGAGGGTTCAAACCTACGCATGGGATGTTCCCAGATGCGCCCAAGTCAACTGTACCATGACTTGGTAAAAAAAATTGCAACCTGAAGTGCTACTGCTCTCACTAGGATCCCAAAGCTTCTCTGAAGCCCAATCTGGGATTCACACAATTCCCCCATGCACCTGGGCTCTTGTCAAACAGATGTTCTACCTCTAAACCTTACTTCAATACACAGAAATCACAATATTGAAGTAAGGGCGTAGAGGCAGAAAATCTGGTTGACAGCCCGGGTGCATGGGGAAATTGTGTGAAACCCCGATTGGGCTTCGGAGAAGCTTCAGGATCCTAGTGAGGGCAGTAGCACTCCAGGTTGCAATTTTTTTACCGTGTTGTGGTACAGTTGACTAAGGCGCATCTGGGAACATCCAGTGCGTAGGTTCGAACCCTCATCATGCCCTTGTGGAATTCTTCATATGATATATCACATTATTGTAATTTGTGTGTACTGTATTGTCTTAACATGTTTTCAGAATTTTATACACCATCCCTGCTGTGTGTCTAGACTTTCTCAGTATTGTCCTTCACAAGATTAGATTCCATGCTGGTATACAGGTACTATACAGTATTCTGGAATGAGTTTGCTGTAGACACTGTATAATAGCTTTGAAAGTGTTTAAATTCTGAAGCCATTCATACATTTACCAATTTTATGTGCTTACCTAATTGCTTAAGTGGGAATGAGATGTAGTTTATGGCCAAACCTGCTTTTATACCTATTCATTTCCTTTATACCACATGCACTGCATATACACACTACATATATTACAATCAAGTATTTTCTTGAATGAGGAAAAGTGTACCTCATTCATTTTTCACAGCACTGTACAATATCTTTTATTGTAATCACAGTTCTAGACCAGCCACTTTTAGTGTCTTTAAAGTGAGTTCTCATAACCTGCCCACAACGTTGCTGTCTCATGTATTAGTCTTATAGCAAATCTTTAGATGACCCTATTGTGTAATATAGGGTGGGGGATTGTACCTGGATGGGGTTTTGAGAGTTTTACTCCTCCAAGCCTGGTATGGGGCCATACTTGACTTGACTCAATGATGTATATTCTAGAACTGGTTTGGAATTAGCCATGCATAGTGTATTGAATAAATCCTTGTTAGGTTTCAAAGTTTCATCCATATGTTTGCCAGTTTTGCATCTGCTGCTTTTCGTTTCACACATGCCTCTGGTCTTGTGGCCACGCCCTGGTCTTTAATATTTGACACCATGAGCAAATCAGGAATCAGTCCAAGGACTAAGCATTGTGGGGCACCCATTTGCTACTAATATCTATAACAAGATTTCTTCTTGCACTGTGTTTATATCTTTGCTTTTATTGTCTTTAACTTTGAATAAGTTCTGTATTTTGTAAGTTCATCGGCATTCTAGAAACCAAATTAATAATAGAACATTGCTGGAATACAGTATTTGCAAAACTGGATGTAAACCAGAATTCTGGGAATGAATATATAATTTCTTTATGAATATGTGGCATTACATTCTAGATCAGGAATACCCAAGTTCATTTAGTCTTATGATTAAAACAAACTTTAATTTGTTGTAAAAATTTAAGAATTGCCAATTATTCATAGATTCTAGGAACAGTTTAACCATGGGCTTACATTCAAGTTACATCTTCAGGTATGGAGTTGTAAATTTGAGAAGTGTGATTCAATCTTAAAAAAAAAAGTGCCTAAACCTAAGTATTGCTAGAGAAAAAAATGATTTGGATTAGACATTTCTATTTTATACATGTAATGTGCTTATTATATATGCAGTATGTAATTTCTGTGGATGCTAGTTAAATTTTATTTTGGTGAACATGAATTCATAATATGTACCTAGATGAATTGGGCAATTGACCAACCGGAAAAAGTTTTTTCAAGCAAAAACATTGAAAATCTGAAACATAATTGATAGTTTACTAACTACTATATGCATGCTGTTATATTTAATTGGCAAAGATAATTATCAGATGTGAACTGTTCTGTTATGACTTAAGTTTTCTTGATAATTTATCTTTGACAAATCAACATGCAAAAGTTAAAGGCACTAAAAAAAATTGAACTTGCAGAATTTAAAATAAAAAAGATTTCATAATGCACACGAACTGGATAGTAAAGGGTGCGATGGAAATGCAACAGCTTATTGTATGTACTTGTGATATGTATGTATATAACAAAATGCATAATAGAAACAAGCCATTTCTTTCAACTTTATGCAAGGCCACATTAAACTGCATTCCTTGCCTGTAACTATAAATCCCCCCCCCCCCTCCCCAAACCCCACCTTCCCCAAATATTTGATGCTAATGAAATTACACATTAAAATACTGCAGCTTTTGTTTTACAATTCATTGATGGAAAAAGAACTATGTATTTGTATAACTTTCCATATTCAATAATTCTGAAGATTCAAACAGCAGTTGCATTGAAACTTGTGAAATGACTGTTAAGTTACATTTGTTTATTCAGAATTTATAATGATGGGCTTGCTAAATGGAAAAATATTGCATACAAAGTAAATAAAATTAATAAAATGAATTTAAGAATACTGAAGGTTATTATAAATAATTTATTTTGTTTTGGCACAATTCATGAAGACACAAGCATTCTGTTATGTAATATTTTACATACAAATGTATATAATATATATACATGTATATTATGACTAGCTTAAAAGACCCTACAATTTAATTACCCAACAGAGGATTTAAGGCAAATGTCATACCCTTGCCCTTATGCCTTACTCAAGTCAGGGCCTCTGTACTGCAAAATGAATATGAATAACCCTCTTTAAAAATACAAGATTGAATGAGGAACAGCAGTAAATGGCAATTCATGACTCGAATAGTTCCCCATTCTTTGGGCCAATCCTAAAAAAGCCAACATATATACAGTACAGTACAGCAAATATACATCTACTAAATTATATTAATTTACACTTTACTACAGTACTAAATATTTTTATTCCTATATTTTATTCTTTGGCTTACAGAATCTTGAATGGTGTGGGGCATAATCCACTTTGAGAAATGAATCCAACGTGATATCTATAAAACACAACCAATTATATATTTAAAGTCAATTTTGTATTTAATATTTGTGTAACTTTTGTATAGTATTTAAATGGCATGCATGGTACAAGACAATTTGCTTGGTCAGCAGCATTTAAGAGGTTGAAATTAAGCTGAGATACTGTACATTTCACTGGAAATTTGTATACAATGACTACAGAGAAAAGGAATTAAAAATTAAGCATCTAATGGATGTAGTTATGAAACATATCCCCCCCCCTCCCCAATTTTGGCTAGTATTCTATTCAACACAATCATAGAGCTTGCAAAAGTTTCCATTGTTTAGTATAGAATTCTCACAATAATACTCAAATTTTGTCTGTTATTTATCCTTGAAGATGGTCTTGTACATCAATTAAATGACTGAATTAGAATTTATAATGTTTGGCCAAGAATTCCACTAACTGCTTTGATTATTATTGAACTAATGTATTGCCATTAATTAGCACAGACAAAATTATTGAGGCAAGAGAAATATAAAAGCATGTCAGTAATAATGTCAAAAGGAAAAACAATGAGTATTCCTGATTTAGGTGAATTTGTGAACCAAATAGTTTAAAAAGTGAGGGAATTTAATTATATAGTACTATACAAAACCTCTTCTGAGATGCCTGAATTTAATTAGACTAATCTTTGAGAGCCCTGTTAGTAAAATACCTTTGCCTAAAATATTTTGTAGGTACACTATTAAGTCTGATATAAGTGAACTGTCTTGCTTTGCACGTGTTAAATCTTGAATTCAAAGTTAACAACAACAACAACGTCATTCTTGATGGGTCAGTAATCCTCAGCTCAGAAAGATAAACAATGTTTGTGCTGTTATCTTCCATTCATTCTTCCAGATAAATCTTTTTAGCTTATCCTGGTCATTGGCATAAGGGCCATCTCTGCAAATAACAAAATTAATGATTTTATAATTTTTAGGAAATGAAAAAATATTACAGTATATAAATTTATGTGCAACTAATGAATTAATTTACTTTACAATAGTATTTCTTTATCATATATAATGTTAACTGCACTTTAAAATGTTATCACTCAATTTGTTAACAACTTGATCCATGATACAAATTTGTTATTTGAGCTTACCATGGGAGTAGTGTAGGTCCTTGGTCATTTAGCGAGTTTGGTGGTCTGGGAAATTAGGGTTAGTAGGTCTCCAGTTCTTTGCATTTTTGCCAAACTTGTAAACTAATCTTCTTCCAAGGACTGCTTCAAATATTTCGGTTTTATAATAATACCTGAGAAAATAATATATTGTATTATTAGAATGAAAAGAATAATATTAAATTCTAAAAGTCTATCTTAAACACGAACATATTATTAAGTCACGCAATCAGGCAAATTGAAGTCATTTAGTCTATTAATTTTGTTTAATGTGCACCCTAGGAAATCAGTTTAATTAGGGGTGTGCAGAAAGAACACTTAATGGAGTACCACCCTGCTCCTTATTGTCCAAACTGCATTGCCCCTCTTACGTCGTGCATATGCTTGTTTAATGTCCGGACTTCCAGGGTGAGTGTCTTGCTTTCCGACCGTCCCTCGCGGTCACTTGTCCCTCGATAGAATTCTCGATGAATCGAATATTTTTGATATCATTTGCCTTATGCGTTTCTGTTCTCATATTGGCATCCTTAGTGATATTTAGAGCCCTATGATTATTCTGCACATTTGATGGTGCTACATAGCCTTCCTGGCTTAGTGTCTTGTTTTGATAATTACTTAGGGTGTGCAGTTGGGGGTTAATTATCATGTTGATAAAATTTCCATTATTGTACTAAGCTTCGTCTTGTCATCCAAAATTAATTGTATTTAGTCACTGTAGGTACCAAGTACAAAATAGGGACTATTGCCAAAAAATAAATTATATAACTACTGTACTATTAATTTTGTAGAGGGCACAAAAGTATATATACAGTATGTACAAAGATTGCATATGTTAGGCCTAGGACAAGTTAGGTTTTTTTTCAGTTCTTAAGTCTTAGAATTCCAGTAGTACAAAAATGTGGATTTTTATTAGCTACAAAAATACATATTGTACATTCCATCCTTTTCATCCATTCCATTCCTATGGGTACTAAAACTTTTGGACAATAGGTTGAGTTATTGGTGTTACTACTTAGTTATAAATCTAGAGTTGGAAGTATTTCTTGCCTGTTGTCCAACAACCTGGTCATGTTCACAGCAACAGATCAAGTAAGTCTTCAGTCATGTCTGTCTACTATTAATATGTTCTTACTTGCTATATTGAGCAATTAGTAAAATGCAATACCTATACAGTAATAAATATATATACAGTACTGTACTGTAATCTTTCAAACATTTTCTGTCTTGGTCCCATCGTGTTAAACATTACTTAATTAGTACACACTTTCTCATCTACTTGTGCATAAATTAGTGTTAAACTTATGCATACCTTGCCAATAGCTGCGCAGAACTTAAGAATTATAAAAACGCACTTTTCTCTTAAGATATATTATGTGAAGCTAATAAAAAGGCACTTATGGGTACTTGTAAATAAATCAAATAGTGTAAAATCTTGTACTGTATAGGAATTTAGTCTAGATTATTAGTGCTCTCTTTGGAGCGTAATAGTGTATTCATGATGCAAAATCCTGTGCAAGCAGTGTCCATTTCATTACAAGTCGGATCCTTATCCAGTTAGATGTCGATAAGTCTAAGTACACAGTGTTGTAACTAGTAGTGCTGTACAGCACAACAAATTACTGTCCTACCAACTCAGGGTACAGCTTGAGAAAAATTTATTCACACAAGAATAGAACTTTAATTTAAAATACAAGAGGAAAAATTGAAGATAAAATAATTGGGTTGCTCTAAGTTCATGGACATTATTCCCATTCTCATAGTTTTTGCACAGGACAGTATCTTTCAAACCTATAAAGTAATGGGATCCTTTACAAGCTACACACTTCTTGTTCCTGACAGGACAACTGGAGAAAAATGGATAAATTCTGGCAAATTCTCGATATGAGATCTTTTGAGACTAAAATGCTGAATTGAGACTTTGCCAATTTATTTACTTAATATAAGTGAAATACGCAAAAAATTACTAACCTCATGGCACGGCTCAATTTTTCATAGTTCATATCTTTGTTTTGTTTACGATCTCCCCACTTTTGAGCAACTTTCTCTGCCTGCACAAATCTGAACATCCCCTCTTCTGGGTTCTCCCAGCGTACTAATGAAGGACACGTTGCTGGATCCAGGAGCAGGTTTCTTATAAACTCCCATAAACGACCAGTCTTCTTTTTCTTCTTCTTTAGTTCATTTTCTGCAATATCAAAACTCATTAATAATCTGTGTAAAATTTCACATTTAAATAATCATATGAACATAATAAATATGTTCAGATAATTTGATGAACCAGATAAGAAATCAGTATAAAACTGAATAAAAATAGTATGTAGGTTATTTTGTTTGCTTCTGAATGATTAGGTTGTGAGAGTGAGGATGTATGTACTGTAATTACTTAGTGTAGTTTCAAAACGAGAGCTACACTTGTGGTGTCCCGTCTTCCCAGTACTCTGTCATATGACATGTTGAAACAGTTTTGGCCTCCACCACCACACTAGTTGCTAGCGTCTACCACTCTGCAAAAGTGAACATTCTAATGTTTTTTGGGAGCTTTGTTTCCCTAATTTGAATAAATGACCTCTTGAAGCTGCAAGTTTCAAGAGTTCCTCTTTATTCCTCGCTCTCAAAAATGTTCATCACCCCCTGCTAATGACTACAGCCCACAACAGTTGATTAAATCAGTTACCTATTTATTACTAGGTGAACAGAAGCAGCAGGTGTGAGGAATCATGCCCAAATGTCCCATCCTACCTTGCATAAAACCTGAGGCAGTCTTCCTATACTGTTCTCATCATCAATTATGGTGTCACATTAGTATAAATAGTCTTCAAGGCTTGGTGCCATCTTTTGATAATTATTTACTTCCATAATTGTAGCATCTTGACAGGTTTATTTAAATCTGGTTTCTGCAACATGTTTGCACCCCTTACCTGGTTTGCGAGGCCGGCCAGGTCCTCGTTTCTTGGGAGGTTCAGGTTTAGGTTCCTCTTCATTGTTGCTGTGCTCTGAAAAATGAATAATTTCATTATCATCTTCAGCCAAGCCAATGTGCTGTATTTATGGTGAAATAGCTTTTGCTGGTACACTTATTAGACAATACAGTTCCCATTAAGATACATATTTATGATTCACTAAAATACTATAACAACGTAAAATGTCACAAATGTATATACAGTTCAGTATGTAAACCTTTATAGTTTATTTTAGCTTTTTCCAACCATAACCAGTATAAAATATTGTATATGAAACATTAAGAAACTTACCATGATCAGATATACTTTCTGGTGCTCCACTGGGCATGACAGGTGACGAGAGATCACTTAACGGTGCATAGGACTTCATTGCTGCTGTAGGGTAATTCATTGACGATGATATATTTCTGTTTCCATCTTCATATCTCAACCCTCTGTGGTCTAGAGTCTCATAACGAACTTCATAAGGTGCAGAAGTCTCACATGCAACCGGTGATTCTCTTGAAGCCATGTTTGGATGACGAGCTCCTCCATCACCATTTAATTCGTATGCCATGGGATATAGATGACTATTGGCAAAATACTGCTGATGTGATTCAACTGTCAAAGGAAAACAATTTTATTATTCTTTTTGTTTAGGTCTCAAGTATGTTTAATTAGATATAGCTAACAAAATATTAATGTTTCTCATTGTGAGGCAGAAAGCCTGATAAGCTTATTGTGGTTTACCTAACCTAACAACTGACCACCTTCAGGCTGCAACTCACTACAGTTGCTTAACTCCTGGATACCTATTTACTACTAGGTAAACAGAGGCATTGTATGATTATACAATATATAATATATGCACAAACGTTTCAACCTGTCCAGGAATCAAACTGGTCCAATAGGTTGTGAACGAACGGTGCTAACCATTGCACTACAGGCATCCATAACAGTATGGATAAAAATGTTTTACTGTGCTTGCATGGGATATACTATAGTTTCAAAGTATTGTGGATGTACTATCACCAAAGTACTGAATTCTGCCAAAATATGGAACATTTTAAATGCCTAAATATTGTAAAGGATAAACAATTAGACATACAGTACTGTACAACTTTTATCTGGGCCTGAATAAAGTAAATAAAGTTCTGTACTAAAAAAAACCATGAAGGGTCTCACACAACACAATGGATTTACTAATGCATTCTATTGATTAATAAGTTATGCACTTAATACTATAAAAAGAAACTCTCCATCAGGGGCATCAAATAATTGCTTCAGATGACTGCAATAATCTCTTACAAATATTAAATTATAATCCACTGTCAAATTCCCCTAATGGCCTTTGTTAATTATGAAATTTATGATCAAATGTCCAATCATACATACTTTTAAAACTTCAACATGGTCACATATTTTATTAGGCAAGCACTGAGGTGAGTTATTTTGTTACCGAGATAAGTTATTTTCTTGCTAAAGTATTCAGATGTCTATTGATAATGTTGACAGCTTCATGTTGTCTTTGCTCACTGCTTAAGCAAGCAAATTTCTGTGTATTATGAATAATTTGTCAAAAGTATTTCCCCCCACCTGTATGTCATACATAAATGAAAATCAATGAGAGGGAAAATGCATCTCGCAGTGCCAAATATTAGAAGATAAAAGTATGGTACTGTTTTCCTGTATTGTATACTGTAGCATTTCACTATCAATGTAATACAAATCTGAGTGCTCTGCCATTTCCATAACTGATGAAAAAAAGTACTGTAAATACAAAGAGCACAGTACTTGTAAGTACAGTACAGTACTTTGATTTTTAAAACAAAAATGCAAACAAGGGCAATAGCTTCAAGTTTTACATGCCACAATGTAAGACAGAAAGCACTTTTTCACCCTTATGGTGGGTAATAAACCCGCCGAAGCTGTAAATGTCAAGACACTACAGTACTGTACTCTCATTCAAAATTCATCTGGAAAAAATACAGGAACAAGGTTGGTGTTAAAGTTTCTAATTAACCAAGCATATTCTTAACCTTAAGCTTACCTTGTGATTGTCTTCTCTCTTCCTTTCTTTTATATTCCAAAAAATATCTATATATTTGGTCCCCGTAACTTTTCGAAAATTGTTTGAATCCATTTTCATCTAACTGTAGAAGATTTAACCCGGTTGAACCACTTAATTCAGCAAAATTAATATCTAAATTTTCACATTTAAGTTCATCCCAAGCTTTAAACATAAAGTCAACAACATCTTGATATGTCCACTTGAAGATTGGTTTATTATGATATTGCTCATCCTCTGAAAAAATAATGGAAACATTTAATAATTAATATACAACAAGCCATGTTGTGTATAAATAGAATAGTCCACAGTTCCTAGGATTAAGTAGGTAAACTCCTCCAAATTTCAACTGTTTTGAGCTTCAAAGTTGAATGTATGGTAGATGCTACTGTATAAATAAAAAGTATAACAAAACTCTTGTTATTAAGAAGCTATCAAAATTATAACAAAAATGATTCTAGATATAATTTTTATCTTAAAGCCTGTCAATCTTTGGAGGGCTATATAAGGTCATTACATGTCCTCACTAACCAACCAGCAAGTTTAGGAGTAACGTAAGCTCTCAGAGTAAATACAGAAACAGGTACACTTCTCATTGTATACATTGTACTGTATACAATGAGAAGTGTTGTTTAGTGTTTGCATCATTCATTGGTGAGCGACGGGGTGCCCACAATCTATACAACACAATTCCCTAGTAGACCTACAACAAGTAGCAGGAAGACATGCCAAAAATGAACAACAAAAAATAGGCAAATTTTTGCAATCAAAAATTGTCTTTTTAAATATAAGAAATAAATGATCACTCAGGTTTGCAAATTTAAAAAAAAAATTATATTAAATGCAGTGTGACCATGCTTAAAGAAAGGTACATTAATGGCAACTCTTCTGGGAATTGAACTGTTATACGATGATAGATAAACTGCCACACTGACAACTAATTCTTCAAACAAGGCATGAAAGAGCCAGCCTATCTTGCACTTAGTATAGTCTTTGTGATTTTTTTTAACTAATGGCATACAGGTGTCTACTTTCTACAAGTCTACATGTAACAACCATGTTTGTTTATTCCCCCCCCCCACCCTTCCCCCCTTCTCATGCAGGTCTACACTAGTGCTTGAGCCAAATATCAATAGCATCTATTATCATTTCAGGCTCTTTTGTATGATAACTGATACAGAATTTGTGTATAGTGAACTAAGGGGGATATAATTTGGATGCTGTAATCAGATTTTGTTTACAAACGTGCTCAAATTTAGTGGAAATACTAACTAAATAGTTACAAACTATACGTTTGAATTAATCTAGAAATAAAACAAAAAACTGCTAAATAGGACACAGTTCGAGCTGATTTATTTGTTACTATTCAGAATTTAGTTAAGTTCTTTAATTGACGTCTTATTTCCATTTTAGTGCAAATGTTATATCATTATAATGTAAATAGAACTGAGGGTTGAATTACCGTTGTTTTGGCGAAACCATTCCACGTTCTTGGAGGACGCACTTGGCGTTACTACTGAGGAGCTCGACACATCCTGCAAATCAAATTTGAATGATTAGAACATATATATATATATATATATATATATATATATATATATATATATATATATATATATATATATATATATATATATATATATATATATATATATATATATTGTAATAATAATAACAATAATTTACAAAAAAAACATTAGCAGTACAGTAGTATGAGATATAAGGAAGCGACTAAGAAAACTATATTTTCCCATGTCGGGGGACAGGAAGCCTAGCTGTTAGGCTTACTGCGGTTCCCCTGGGACTATATATATATATATATATATATATATATATATATATATATATATATATATATATATATATATATATATATATATATATACTGATCTGTCCCAGGGAGCAACCCCATAACAATTGTCTAAGTCCCGTGTACCTATATATTGCTATAGGCGAAATGAAACGTTGCCCAAACGCTTCTGTCCTCATAGACTCGAACTAGGAACCACTACAAGATCCTGTTCTACTTCAGAATAAATTAATATGACGAAGGAGAAAATTTGTTCTTGTCTTGATTAACGAGGAGGAATAATGAGCATTTGGTCTTTCTTGAAGAGAATAGGCTTACTTACTTGATTAAACGTTGGGTACCCGTATGAGATTTCTGCTGGCATTCTCCGGCTCTGACTCCCTGTGGGGAAAAACAAATTAATTTGCTGTTCACAGCTAAAAAAAATATTAACGTTTAAAAAGCCCAATTAATTTGAAGAAACATTTCATACCTAAACTACCTCAAAATCAAATTTTGCACTGTATTTTTATAAACTCGATTAAAGCCTAAATTATTATTTAGTCCACATCAAAACATTATACAAACATCAATAGGATTCATACGTAAAAGAGAGATGCTAAGGAAATTTATCATCTGAAGTGGCCAAGATGTAAATTAAGTGTATCTAGAGAGATATGGGCGACACCCAGTCACCCCTGGAGACATCTTCCCTATGACCCTGTACTCAACACTGCCTCTACACTTAATTAATTCCCTGGTGTTAAACTAACATGGAAAGCAATAATTAAGCAGCTTTAACAGTGAAAGGGGTTAGATATCCTAAATTCAAATGTATAGGCTAGTCAATATTGATTGAATAATTTCCCTTAATAAGCGCGGGAGCAAGAGCATACATTAATAATTCAGAGTTGAGCTCTGCTGTTCTAATAATTGAAAACGCAATGGTATTGGTGCATATCAGTTGTATTGTCAGGTCAGGACTGACTGGGTGATTGATTTGGTTATTACGTACTCACCCTAGTTGTGCTTGCGGGGGGTTGAGCTTTGGCTCTTAGGTCCCGCCTCTCAAATCTCAATCAATTCATGAAAAACCTGTCCGTCATGTGCGAATGGTTAAACCACAGTGGAGTTTCATAACGATATCGTTACATTAAATACATGCTCAAGTTCTAATACGTGCTCTAATATGAATTAATTATGTTTGTGAATAATGCTAAACGAGTAGCTTTTTAGGCAAGTAAAATCCCGGCAACATATACGGGTAAGCCTACTTTCTGCTGGAAGTTAAAAGGCGTTACGTGTTTTCTTCAAGTCAAACGACACTCACTTTTCAGTTGTAGGTTTTATCTCTCACAGAGTTTACATTTGTAATCTCCGCTGTTTGGAGTTTCATTATGCCTGCAAAAATAACGATATTCAAGCCTAATTCTGCCAGTTACAACGACAAACTGAATGGTGAATGGTTCGTGGTGTGTATAGTTAATCTTAAACATATTACCCATAATATTAAGTGATAATATTACGTGCCTTCTGCAATTGAAATTGAAATTGAAATAAGTTTATTGAGGTAAAATACACACAAAGGGATGAGGTAGCTCAAGCTATTCTCACCCCATTCAGTACAACGTGTTAATACATACATAGACACACATCACAAATAAACATATTACCAAACATTCTGAGAGATAACGCCTTCTGCCATGTGTCAGTGATTAGTCTCCTGTTAGACCTTTAGTTTCTCCAGCTGTGGTCTTGACAAGAGACTATTCACCAGGGGTCTCATATGTGTGTGTTGGAGAATATCAGTTCCCAAAGCTGCCACCAACTACACTAAGAAACAGTCTGCAGTTAACCACACATATTTTTACAGTCTCCGTGGTGTAGTGGTAAGACACTCGCCTGGCGTTCCGCGAGCGCTATGTCATGGGTTCGTATCCTGGCCGGGGAGGATTTACTGGGCGCAATTCCTTAACTGTAGCCTCTGTTTAACGCAACAGTAAAATGTGTACTTGGATGAAAAAACGATTCTTCGCGGCAGGGGATCGTATTCCAGGGACCATAGGATTAAGGACTTGCCCGAAACGCTACGCGTACTAGTGGCTGTACAAGAATGTAACAACTCTTGTATATATCACTATATGATAACCAGATCTATGACGGAGCAGGTTTGAACATCTAGGATATCTATACGACGCCACACTGTTATCAGTGTTGGTCCTAGTATTGAGCATTCTTTAAGCGAATTCAAATAATCTACAATAACAATTACTTTAAACTACAATGAATTCTACAAAATTCAACTAAAAACATCAGGTAAAGTGACGAATATAACTACTATTAAAGATAACCGCTACCATTATACAACTATATAATCACAGCAACAACCACCATTATAATACCTCCAGCTATCACTCCAGCAGAATACACTGTCGTGTATATACATGAACTTCCTTCAGGTATATTCGAATACACGAGCGTGAAGAGCGCCCCTCACTCCTCCAGAAGGACAACTGGCCCAAGTGTTGCGTGACATCGTCTTATCTAATCCAGTTATCAGCTCGCTAATGCCACTTATATAATTGTGTTGCCAGCATTTTTCGGAATAAGTAGACGTCGACGTCAATGTATTAGCATCTGAATTGTTATATTTTCTGCTAATTAGAAACCACAAAGGAAATGGGAATACTTGTGAGTATATGGTTTGATTTGAGAATTGTTATTGCAATGGCAACTGGGTACGGACATTAGTTGTCAGTTTGGCATTATTCTCCAGTTCGGGAGTAAATGCGTATCCTGTACAATCAACAAACTGATAAAAGTAGACTTCACTAAAAATTATAATATTTTCGATTGAACATGTGGATTTAAATTAGCTGGAGGGCCCATAATATAATAACTTTAACCATAATTACATCAATTATTACATTTAAAAAGCTACACTAAAACAAATACTGTACATAAATTTGATACGGCATTAGGTTATAATTTGTTTAATTATAATCGATAAGTAGTAGTTTTATCAGGCAATAATCACGCAAAATGTCATTCTATACATGATAACTATACTCACCCATTCTGCCAAATATGTTCCCAAGATGGACAGCTCACCTTCTCCCCACAACACACGCTAGTTAACCTAATAACTTTACAACACTTGATGTATATGAGCCTAAATCACAGGTATGTTGGAGATATGCTGGAGAAGGACAAAGCAAAGCGCCCGCAGCAACACCGCCACTCAGCGCCCCACTCAACTCTGCTTCCCACCACCGCTACACCCACTCTCCTTACTCTTCTCCTATGCCACAGTCCATGCTACCATTTCTAAGTACTTCTCTGAGGCATTTTTCTTTTTCCTCGTGTGTGTGTTGCTCAAAAATTGCGATGTAAAGCTCGTCAGCGCTTAAAGCGAGGACCATGTTTAATTTGTTCAGAGTTTTCCTTGTAGGATATGCTGGCCGGAACCTTCAAGGAACACCAGTTGCTCTATATTTATCATGCCAATATCCTATTCTGGATGATCTTGCACCGTAGAAATAACACAACGAAACGTTATATATATGTATTATAGTGTATACATAAAGCCTATAATATTATGAGGTTGAGCGGTATTAGGGACATGTGCTAGGCTATTTGAGTGCTGCCTGGCATCTTAGTGACGTCATAATCCATGTTCTCACACACACACACACACACACACACACACACACACACACACACACACACACACACACACACACACACACACACACACACACACACACACACACGGGCGTCCTTCCTGTGATCTTAGTCATCACCTTGCTCCTTTCCGTGATCTTAGTCATCACCTTGCTCCTTTCCGTGATCTTAGCCATCACCTTGCTATACTCTATATACTTGCCATCACCTATATGCTTACTCACCCACACCTTCATAATGCGCTGCGTTTTTTTACGGAGTCGACTCATCAGTTAAAAGATATGACTTATTAGCAATATTGTTATTTTTATTTATACACTAGCTGTACCCGGCCACGCGTTGCTGTGACTCAGCAATCCTCCCCCGTCCCCTCGTCCTCCCCACCATTCCCCCCTTCCCCGTCCTCTCGTCCTTCACACCATCCCTAACTCTCCTGTCCCCTCGTCCTCCCCACCATTATCCCCTCCTCCGTCCCCTCCTCCGTCCCCTCTTCCTCCCCACCATTGCCCCCTCCCCCGTCCCCTCTTCCTCCCTACCATTCCCCACTCCCTCCCATCCCCTCGTCCTCCCCACCATTCCTCCCTCCCCCGTCCCCTCGTCCTCCACACCATCCCCCACTCCCCTGTCCCCAGATCCTCCCCACCATTCTCCCCTTCCCCATTCCCTTGTTCTCTCCACTATCCCCCCACTCCCCTGTCCCCTTGTCCTCCCGACCATTCTCCACTCCCCGTCCCCTCGTCCTCCCCACCATCCTCCTCTCCCCCATCCCCCCCTCACCATTACCCACTCCCCCACCCTCCTCTTCCTCCCCACCATTCCCCACTCCGGTCCCCTCGTCATCCCCACCATTCCCCACTCCCTCGTCCGATGCGTTCCCAAATGATCTGATGTTCCCATCATAAAAATGGGAACATCAAATGATCTGATGTTCCCATCACTGAAAAATAAGAACAGTTAAAACCAATAAATGAAAAAAAAACTATACTCATGAAATGAGCGGTATGGTAAACAACACAACTCGATTCCAACCAATGTCACACAAAATAATTAAACCAAAATGAAAATAAAAATTTATGAAAATTCAATTTATCAATGCAATCGGAAACATTGAAATGGAATCGTAACATATTTAGTATAACGTGTGTTGCTTTTACGTGCAACAGATGGCGCTATTAAAAAAAAAAAAACATGTTTTTACCTGTCACAGGTGTGGCATCTATATAGTAGGTATATAAAAACGCGCGTATTCGAATGGAACGTTGTGTCAAAATTTCAAAGCAATCTGTGAAGAACTTTCGGAGATTAGCGATTTTGAGCAAACGAACATTTACATTTTTATTTATATAGCTACAAGAGTTCTTGAATTCTTGTATCAATAAATGGTCTATATGCAATAGGCCTTGGTAGGCCTGGGTAGGCAAAATTTTAATTTGCTTACAGTGGCGGATCAAGAGCTTTGTGTATTGTGCGTATTTACTATTTATATCTGCAGGAAGGTGCTTTTAGCTCTTGGACCCCGCCTTTCTACCCAATTTTATTTTTGCTCTATTATGTCTACTACATATGATTCTCTGACACACACACACACACACACACCCAGGAACGCCCCGTAGCAGTTGTCTAACTACCATGTACATATTTACTGCTAGATGAACAGGGATAGCAGGGTGAAAGAAACTCCGCCCATTTGTTTCTGCTTTGGCCGGGGATCGAACCCG